TATATTTTATTGCGTTCTGGCATTGTAAAGTCTTAATCTGTCTTCTGTCGTGGCTGCGACCCCTTGGTCATTTGTGTGGGAAAATATTGATTTGACTGGTAATGTTATTGAAAAGAAAGCAAGAGAATGGTTGGACAGCGCTACCCGAATATTCGTTCTTTTTATCTTTTTAAAGGCCTTATACTATTATTAAGGAAGTGCATTTTTGTTTAGTTCTGACTGTACAGAAACGCAGACCTGCTACCCTCACCAGGGGCTGAACTAACAGTAGAACATAAAAAGATAGATGTATCACAATGGTGGCATCATGGAAGGAGGAGTTTTTCAACTGGACAAAATGGCGTTGAAGTTCATAAGGAAGAATATGTCAGAGTAGCCAGGAAAATTCTAAAATTAATGGTAATAAGGGAGATTAGCTCTCCAGAACCACCAGATATTATAAAGGTATAGCAATTAAACTAGCATGGAAGATAGGTACAGCACTGTGGACCTGTTGTCCTAGCTACTTGGTAGGCTGAGGTGGGAGGATCCCTTAAGCCCAGGAGTCCCTTAAGCCCAGGAGAGACCAGCATGGGCCATGATAGGGAAACCCTGCCTCTGGGGGAAAAATGAAAAAAAGGCAGTATGGAACACAGCAGGAGCTTACAGGCAGATAGAATATATTAGAACTCAGAATAAGAGCCAGATATATATAGGATTTATTATATAGGCAAGGTGGTACTGTATTTCAAATCAGCATTGAAAAGATGGATTGGGGTTGGGCAGCTTTTTAGTAATTTAGAAAGTAATTAAACCGCTGAGTGCAGTGTCTCACACCTGTAATCCGAGGACTTTAGAAGGCTGAAGGGAGTGGATTACTTGAGGTCGGAAGTTACAGACCAGCCTGGACAACATAGTGAAACCCTGTCTCTACTATGGCACGCACCTGTAATCCCAGCTACTGGGAAGGCTGAGCCAGGAATTCTCCCGCTTGCACCTGGAAGGTGGAGATTGCAATGAGCCCAGATTGCGCCACTGCACTCCAGCGTGGGTGACAGAGTGAGACTATGGAAAATTAAAAAAAAAAAAAAAAAAGGAATGAAGCCCATATTGAGCACCACAGTAATTTCCAATCGGACTAAAATTTAGATGTTAAAAAAAATTACAGCACGAATTAGCCAAGTGTGGTGGTCACCTGTTGTCCTAGCCACTTAGGAGGCGGAAGCACAAGAATCTCTTGAACCTGAGAGGCCAAGGTTATGGTGAGCCGAGATCTGTGTCACTGCACTCCAGCCTGGGCAACAGAGCAGACTCTTGTCTCAAACAAAAAAATTACATCGCAAAGTACTGAAAGTAAGCTTTGTTGAATTTATTTATAATCTTAGAATAACAGAAACTCTTCTAAATGTGTCATGTAATCCAGAAGCCAGAAAGGAAACGACAAATACTTTTAACTCCATTAACATTTTAAATCTATGTGTCCTGCAAAATTCAACCAAAGCAAAAAACTACCAGAAGCCAAATAAACTTATGAAAATGTTTGTTTAATGATCAATTAGAAAAATATGAAACCCAACTGGGTACCCACACTTTGGGAGGTTGAGGTAGGAGGATCACTTGAGGCCAGAAGTTCAAGACCAGCTTGGGCAACATAGTGAGACCCCATTTCTACAAAAAATATTAAAAATTAGCTGGATGGACATGGTGGTTCGTGCCTGTAGTCCCCGCTACTCAAGAGACTGAGGTGGGATTGCTTGAGCCCAGCAGGTCAAGACTATAATGAGTTGTGATTATACCACTTCACTCCAACCTGGGTGACATAGTGGGACTTTTATCTCAAATGGTAATAAGAATAAATTTTTAAAAAGAAAAATTTAGACCAGGCGCGGTGGCTCAAGCCTGTAATCCCAGCACTTTGGGAGGCCGAAGCGGGTGGATCATGAGGTCAAGAGATCGAGACCATCCTGGTCAACATGGTGAAACCCCGTCTCTACTAAAAATAAAAAAAAAATTAGCTGGGCATCATGGCATGTGCCTGTAATCCTAGCTACTCGGGAGGCTAAGACAGGAGAATTGCCTGAACCCAGGAGGCGGAGGTTGCGGTGAGCCGAGATTGCGCCATTGCACTCCAGCCTGGGTAACAAGAGCGAAACTCCGTCTCAAAAAAAAAAAAGAAAGAAAAATTTAAAGAGAAAAATGAGCAGAGTACATGGACAGAAAATCGGAAGAAATCCAAGTGGCAGAAATCTCTAGCAAGAGACTGCCATCTCACGAATTTCAACGTGCATATTAAAACAGTAATTAAGGGGGATTTTTGACAAAGATGACAAAGACTGGAAATAGGCTTGTGTGGAAACAGAAGTGTGTTAATGGAAGTATAAATGAGTATATTTTTTGGAGGGCAATTTGGAAATTCTTTACTTGGCTATTCAATAGGAAAGAATCTACAAATATGCAGAGGGCACAAAAACATGTTTAACATTGATGTTTTTAGTATTGTTTTACTAGAAAATATTTGAAAAAATATGTCAATCAGTATATGACTGGTTAAATAAATTGTGGTATATCCATAAAACGAATACCGTGCAGCTTTTTTGCTTTTTTTATTTTGGTCGTTGTTGTTGTTTAAAGACGGGGTCTCACTCTGTTGCCCAGGCTGGAGTGTAGAATGGTGTGATTGTGGCTCACTGCAGCCTCAACGTCCTGGGCTCAAGGAATCCTCCCACCTCAGCCTCCTGAATAGCTGAGACTACAGATGTGTGCCACCACACCCTGCTGATTTTTTTGTATTTTTTTTTTGGTAGAGATGTGGTTTTACCATGTTGTCCAGGCTGGTCTGGAACTGCTGAGCTCAAGCAGTCGTCCCACCTCAGCCTCTCAAAGTGCTGGAATTCCAGGAGTGAGCCACTACATCTGGCCCTGTGTAGCTGTTTAAAGGAATATGGTAGATCCATGTGTACGGACATAGAAAGATGTCAAATATACAAGATTAGGTGAAAAAAGTATGTTTCAGGATAATACATATGGTAAGATCCTATTTCATAAAACTGTAAGTTTATATATGTATAAAGGCCAGGAGCAGTGGCTCACACCTGTAACCCCAGCACTTTGGGAGGCTGAGGCAGGTAGTTCACCTGAGGTCAGGAGTTTGAGACCAGCCTGGCCAACATGGTGAAACCCTGTCTCTACTAAAAATAAAAAATTAGGGCCGGGCGTGGTGGCTCACGCCTGTAGTCCAAACACTTTGGAGACCAAGGCGGGCGGATCACCTGAGGTCAGGAGTTCAAGACCAGCCTGACCAACATGGTGAAACCCCATCTTTAAAAAAAAAATTTAGCCGGGTGTGGTGGCACGTATCTGTAGTCCCAGCTACTCAGGAAGCCGAAGCAGGAGAATCATTTGAATCCAGAAGGTGGAGGTTGAATGAGCTGAGATAGCACCACTGCCCTCCAGCCTGAGCGACAGAGTGAGACTCTGTCTCAAAAAAATGTGTGTGTGTGTGTGTGTGTGTGTGTGAGTGTGTGTATAAAGAATCTACAACTATACCCCATACTTAATAGTAGTTAGCAGTGATGAATCAGGTTGGAAACATGGTCTTGGGACAAAAGAGCAGGGAGATGGCAGGGCAGGGCCATAGGTATAGGTTGTTGGGAGGGCCTGGGCAAGAGGCAGAAAACAAAACCCAGTGGGGGAGGTCTGAGTTTGGTTTGGTCTTAGGTTTCTGTACTATGCTTTTGCATTTCACTCTCAACCTTTGAGAACTGTAGGAGTTTCATAGATGGGTTTCAGTTGTATACCCTTTCTTGATAAATTAGAAGTAGAAAGCAACTATTTATTACTTTTAGGGTCTTTGGAATATTGTTTATTGGTTTTCTGATTCCATCTTTCTTCCATAAAGGTAACCATGGAGAAAGAGCTGCGGAGCACCATTCTTTTCAATGCCTACAAAAAGGAGATATTTACCACCAACAATGGCTATAAATCCATGCAGAAAAAACTTCGGAGTAATTGGAAGATTCAGAGGTGACTCACCATGTATATTGTTTTCCCTTCTAAGGGATATTGCCCTGCTGATAAAGCTGAAAAGTCTTTGTTTTCCTATGTAACATAGATTGTTTAGGTGGGAGAAACTCAATTTAAAGATTATTCAGAAATAGATTCTTATTAAAACATCTCTTGGGCAAGGCACGGTGGCTCATGCCTGTAATCCCAGCACTTTGGGAGTCTGAGGCAGGCAGATCACCTGAGGTTAAGAGTTCGAAACCAGCCTGGCCAATATGGCAAAACCTCATCTCTACTGAAAATACAAAAATTAGCCAGGTGTGATGGTACATGCCTATAATTCCCAGCTACTCAGGAGGCTGAGGCATGAGAATCACTTGAACCCAGGAAGTGAAGGCTATAGTGAGCCGAGATCATGTGCACTCCAGTCTGGGCAACAGAGGGAGACTCTGTCAAAAAAAAAAAAAGAGAGAGAGAGAATTTCTTTTGAAATAAGCAATTAGCATATTATTAAGGCAGCATATTATTAAGTTGTTTTCTAAATCACAAATCCAAAAATTACTCTAATTATACACATACAGCTTTTTAAGATGTTAGAGGTTTTCTTAGTATTTTTGATTCAGGTCAATACTAGGGAAAGGAAACATGATAATTAAATGTGAATAACTTTGACTTTATATGTGTTTATGTGTATGTTTCTTCTTAATAGGTGAGGATGTGTAATCATTACAAGCTAATGGTAGGGCTGATTAAATAAGTAATTGAGGACTTCTTTTGCTTTAGCATGGCTTGATTTGAACACCTTGACTTGCTGGAAGAATTTAAACAGAAGCTGGATGACTCTGGAGCAGGCCTGTAGAGGGGATTCTCATTTTGAGAGAGAATGGACCAGTTACCTCTTAGTCCCTTCATGTCTGAGCCTCTGTGGCCTCTGCTTCAAAATAGTTGAGAGACTAAAATAATACATAAATTGGTTTAAATTCTGGACCTAATATTTGCTTTTAAAACTGTATTTCTAGCTTAAAAGATGAAATCACATCAGAGAAGTTAATTGGAGTGAAACTGTGGATTACAGCTGGGCCAAGGGAAAAATTTACTACAACTGAGGTAAGAAATAGCCATTATAGAATAAATAATAGTGAAATGATTAGGAGCCTGGGTTCTGAAATCCTGGATTTGAATCCCCCTTCACCACTTATGTGTGGCCTTAAGGTAGTTACTTCATCTCTCTTTTCATCATGAAGTTGTGATGATTAACTGAGATACTCCTTGTAAAACACATTGTGTAGGCCAAATGCATAGTGTAGGTTAATTAAATATTAGCCACACTTTTTTGCTGTATTTTTACTTTAAAAATAGGAAAATTCCCTTTAAAATAAAGATGTTTATTATTCTAAGTCATGGAATGGATAAAGAATGAAAAATGTAAGGCCCAGAATACAAATGACAGTATTGGTAAGAATAGGAAGTTATTGGAACCCTTCCACACTGATGGTAGGAATCTAAAATGTACAGTCACCGTGAAAAACAGTATGACAGTTCCTCAAAACTTAAACCTAAAATTGCCATACAATGGCAGGGTGCAGTGGCTCATGCCTATAATCCCGGCACTTTGGGAGACTGAGAAAGGCAGATCACTTGAGGTCAGGAGTTTGAGACCAGCCTGGCCAACACGGCGAAACCCCATCTCTACTAAAAATACAAAAATTAGCCAGGCATGGTGTTGTGTGTCTGTAATCCCAGCTACTCGGGAGGCTGAGGCAGGAGATTTGCTTGAACTTGGGAAGCAGAGTTTGCAGTGAGCAGAAATTGGGCCACTGCATTCCAATCCAGATGACAGAGCTAAACTGTCTCAAAAAAAAAAAAAAAATGACAAACCTGCCATATGCTCTAGCAGTTTCACTTCTGGGTACATTCCCGAAAGAATGGAAAATAGGATCTCAAACAGATAGCTGCACACCCATCTTCTTAGCAGCACTCTTCACATTAGCCAAAAGGTGGGGGAAATACCCCAAGTACTCATCAACAGATGAATAGAGAAGATATGGTACATACATACAATGGAATATTATTTAGTCTTAAATAGGAAGGTAATTCTGATACATACTACAACATAGACGAACCTTGAGGACGTTGTGCCAAATGAAAATAAGGCAGACAAAAAGACAAATACTTTGTGGTGTCACTTATGCAAGCATGAGGTATATAGAGTAGTCGAATTTGTGGAGACAGAAAATAGAATGGTGGCGGTTGCCAGGGCCTGGGGGAATCGGGGAATGGAGAATTGCTGTTTAATATATACAGAGTTTCAAGTTTTGCAAGATGAAAAGAGTTCTGGAGATTGGTTGCCCAATAGTGTGAGTATGTTTAATATTGCTGAACTAGGCCAGGCATGGTGGCTCACACCTGTAATCCCAGCACTTTGGGAGGTGGAGGCGGATAGATCACTTGAGGCCAGGAGTTCGAGACCAGCCTGGCCAACATGGTGAAACGCTCTCCCTACTAAAAATACAAAAATTAGCTGGGCACAGTGGCACATGCCTGTACTCCCAGGTACTTGGGTGGTTGAGGCAGGAGAATTGCTTGAACCCAAGAGGCAGAGGTTGCAGTGAGCCGAGATCGCACCACTGCACTCGAGTGAGCCGAGATCGTACCACTGCACTGCAGCCTGGGCGACAGAGTGAGACCCTGTCTCAAAAAAAAAATACTGCTGAACTAAATATTTCAGAATGGTTAAGATGGTACATTTTAGGAAAGATTGCGTGTGTTTTTTCACAGTCAATAAAACAAAAAACCCAGAACACAGAAAGAGCCATTTTACAGAGACATGAGAAGTACCTTTGTGCTCAGAGGGAATATGGGGAGTAGGTAGTTTGAGGCAGGGCAAGGCCAATGTGGTCCTTAGATTGAGGCAGGCTAAGGTCTCCTGCTGTTACTCTGGATGGTGTCATGGGGAAGATGTCCACTGAAGAACATTTCTAGTGTCCTTTGTTTCTCAATTTGATTGCAAGGTGACCTCCTCCTCTGGGAATGGCATGGAGAGAGAGATGATTGCTTGATCAGCTTAATTGACAGAATAAGTAGGAATTACTCTTGGGAATTTGGAGGTGACCAGCGACTCCTACCCACTGAGACCCTGAGGGAAATGTATACAGAGAGGGCAGTGGCCTGCAGAGCAACAATTTATTACTTGTTGGGCTTTGGCTCCATCTCCCCATCTACCTGGTGAAGCCAAAGAGAGAGTTGACCTGGTGTTTGCCAGGGACCAACCAGCTTCAGAAATGCAGGGGCATCTGGAGAGAAGGTCAGAACCTGGTGCCTGGGCCTTTTCCCAAGTGGAGATGGGTGCCAGCCCAAGCCTTAGTTTGGGCTTCCAGGGATGGAAGGCTGTTACATCCAAGAGACACGAGTCCTTCAAGAGGCAAGTGTGATATAATTTAGCCTAATAAAACCTCCCAGACCAATCCCTGACACCATGCCTTCTCTTTAGAGTTGGAGTGGGGTGGTAAGAAAAGCCTTTGGCTTTTTCCCTAGGAACCAGCATTCCCTTGAGTTTCTGTTCTTCCAGTGGGCTCATCCTGGTAAGATCACTGCTTTTGTCATCACTGCTGGCCTGCTAGACTGTTACCCCTGGAAAGCTGTGTGATGCCTGTTTCTTTTTTTTGAGATGGAGTTTCACTCTTGTTGCCCAGGCTGAAGTGCAATGGCGTGATCTCAGCTCACTGCAACCTCTGCCTCCCGGGTGCAAGTGATTCTCCTGCCTCAGCCTCCTGAGTAGCTGGGACTACAGGAAAGCACCACCACACACAGCTAGGTGCCTTTTTAATGTTGGCTTCCAGAAGCTTCTGTGATAGAACAGATATCATATGTCTGATAGTAGATGCTAGTATCAGGCTAGAAACTAGGCTGAAAAGCCTTCCCCTATTTCCACCTCAACTACAGTAACTCATCACACTAGCTTTGTGGTGGTATTCAGTTACCACCAGGAAACCATGTAGGTGAGATGAGTATTTTCCAACCCTGACAGACCAGCATCCACCTATATTACAAATGCCACCTTTATTATCCTGAACTGAAATGCTAAGACAATCTAACCCACCATCATTTTTTATAAAGGCAGTATAACATCCTGACTTTAATATTCAGAAATTAAAGGATGGTTTATAAAAGAATATATGTATTTTAAACTGTAATGTTTAGGCATATATACACTAGAAGAATATATGTATTTAAGTTTGGGCATACATGCATTAGAACACTTCTTTTTTTTTTTTTTTTTTTTTTTTTTTTGTGAGATGGAGTTTCACTCTTGTTACCCAGGCTGGAGTGCAATGGTGCGATCTCAGCTCACCGCAACCTCCGCCTCCTGGGTTCAGGCAATTCTCCTGCCTCAGCCTCCTGAGTAGCTGAGGTTACAGGCACACGCCACCGTGCCCAGCTAATTTTTTGGTATTTTTAGTAGAGATGGGGTTTCACCATGTTGACTAGGATGGTCTCGATCTCTTGACCTCGTGATCCACCCACCTTGGCCTCCCAAAGTGCTGGAATTATAGGCTTGAGCCACCGCGCCCGGCCCAGAACACTTCTTTATGTTTGGCATTTTGAAATAAATATTTAATAAATATATAGAACTCCCATGAGTGGGTTAGATACAGATACAGACTGGTGGCAGTGATGAATTGGCAATTCAGATCGAGCCGTGTTGCTGTCAGTGATGTGATTTTTCTAAAATACTAACTCTTGGTAAAGTTCTATTAATAAAAAGGGTGTAATTTTTTTCTGAATTTACATGGTAGTTGGGTATCTGCGAATTTAGTATGTTAAATCGTGCAAAAAATACTTTATAAAATTTATATATAATTTAGGCTGGGTGTGGTAGCTCACACCTGTAATCCCAGCAGTTTGGAAGGCCAAGGCAGACGAATCACCTGAGGTCGGGAGTTTGAGACCAGCCTGGCCAACACAGTGAAACTCTGTCTCTACTAAAAATATGAAAATTAGCCGGAGGTGGTGGCAGGCGCCTGTAGTCAGTCACAGCTACTTGGGAGTCTGAGGCAAGAGAATCGCTTGAACCTGGGAAGTGAAGGTTTCAGTGAGCTGAGACCTTTGACTTCATCTCAAAAAAATAAATAAATAAATTTAGTTAGATTCTAGGCTAAGTTTCTTCTGTTTGTTTGCTTTTCTTTTTTAAACATAAGTGACTGAGAAGAAACTCAAATATTGTCGATCAGTTATTTACTCTGTTGGACTGGTCTGAACATTGCAGGCCTTAATTTTCCTGCCCTTTACCCACTAAAATGTCCTTAAGTATTAATATTATGGCATTAATATTTTACCATATTAATATTATGGTAATCCAAAATACATGCTAGATGGTTTAAATGCTGCCACTGAGAGCCACTGGCCTGGACCATCCAGTATCGATTACGTTAAATATCTTACATTTGCTGCCACATTGTAAAACTTAACAGTGTGAATACATTCAAAGCCATTTCTAAAATTTAAGTCTACAAATTTAATCTTTCTTCTTGTTTTTGCCATCAAGAAGTAAGAAACCTCCAATTTGTACCAAATATATGTTCTTTCGTTAGAAGGGGCTCACTTACACACATAGGTGGAACCTGGGTCATAATTTGTGGAAGCCCCTTCAACCTTTGCCCAACTGTGTTACTACACACCAAATCCTTCATGTATCTTTTTCTTAAAATGCCAGATGGCCAATAGGACACAGTAGATATCAATACCTACTGTATATTCATTGCATTTAGACAACAAGGACAAATCCCAGAACCACATAATCATAAATACCAAGTCCCAGTAGAATTTCCCAAGCAAAAGCTATGTTCTGAGAATAGATGTTGCAAACTATACCTGGCTTTCTATTAGCAGTCATAGAACATAGCGCATATATATATATATTATTTTTTTTTGAGACGGAGTTTCGCTCTTGTTACCCAGACTGGAGTGCAATGGCGCGATCCTGGCTCGCTGCAACCTCCACCTCCCGGGTTCAGACAATTCTCCTGCCTCAGCCTCCTGAGTAGCTGGGATTACAGGCACGCGCCACCATGCCCAGCTAATTTTTTGTATTTTTAGTAGAGACGGGGTTTCATCATGTTGACCAGGATGGTCTCAATCTCTTGACCTCGTGATTGAGCCGCCGTGCCCGGCCGAACATAGCATATATTTAGGGCTGTCTGGGAAGAGGAGTTCGAGAGGAAATCAAAAGGAAGATGGGATTTAGGGAGAGATTCAGCTTGTTGTTCAGGGTCCAGAACGGTGCAGTTATATTTCATTTGTTTTTCTGTTGTTCCAAAAAATATTTATTAAGGATCTGTTACGTACCTAGTTATGTGCCAAGTCCTAGGACTAATGCTAGGGATCAAAGTCAAATAGCAAATGGTCTCTCAAGAAACTGATATTCTAGGGGAAATCAAACAAATGGACCATTTAGCAATAATGATCAATGTTCTAAATTCCACATTTCTACAGAAGCACAGAAAAGAGGTATTGGATTAAAGGGGCTAGAGGAACTGGCCTTTGAGCTGATTTTTTTTTTTAATGTTTTTTTTTGAGACAGAGTCTTGCTCTGTCACCCAGGCTGGAGTACACTGGCACAGTCTCAGCTCACTGCAACCTCCACCGCCCAGGTTCAACTGATTCTTCTGCCTCAGCCTCCCGAGTAGCTGGGATTACAGGCATCTTTCACCACACCCAGCTATTTCTTGTATTTTTAGTAGAGATGAGGTTTCACCCTGTTGGCCAGGCTGGTCTTTAGCTCCTGACCTCAAGTGGTCCACCCACCTCAGCCTCCCAAAGTGTTGGGATTACAGGAGTAAGCCACTGCACCCCGCCTTAATTTTGATTTTGAAATAATTGATTCATTTTTGTTTTGTTTTGCTTTGTTTTTGAGATGGAATCTTGCTCTGTCACCCAGGCTCGTATGCAGTGGTGCTATCTCGACTCACTGCAACCTCTGCCTCCTGGGTTCAAGCAATTCTCCTGCCTCAGTCTCCTGAGTAGCTCAGTCTACAGGCATGCATCACCATGCCTGGCTAATTTTTGTTTTTTTGTTTGTTTGTTTTTGTTTTTTTGAGACGGAGTTTCGCTTTTGTTACCCAGGCTGGAGTGCAATGGCACAATCTCGGCTCACCGCAACCTCCGCCTCCTGGGCTCAGGCAATTCTCCTGCCTCAGCCTCCCGAGTAGCTGGGATTACAGGCACGCGCCACCATGCCTAGCTAATTTTTTGTATTTTTAGTAGAGACGGGGTTTCACCATGTTGACCTGGATGGTCTCAATCTCTTGACCTTGTGATCCACCCGTCTTGGCCTCCCAAAGTGCTGGGATTACAGGCGTGAGCCACTGCGCCCGGCCCTAATTTTTGTATTTTTAGTAGAGACGAGGTTTCACCATGTTGGCCAGGCTGGTCTCAAATTCCTAACCTCAAGTGATCTGCCCCCCTTGGCCTCAGAAGATTCATTTGTTTTCTACAATGTGGGGAAGGCAGAAAGAGAGGAAAATTTAGGGTGCATGCAAGAGCAAGAGGGCTATGCTGTGGCAAAGCTAGTATGGGCAGTAGTTTCCAAAGTAGGATGCATGTGATGAATCAGTGGGGTACCAGAAAGAAATTACATTTATTATTCATATATATTTTTGTTTTGAGGCAGAGTTTTGCTCTCGTTGCACAGGCTGGAGTGTAGTGGTGTGATCTTGGCTCACTGCATCCTCCACCTCCCAGGTTCAAGTGATTCTCCTTCCTCAGCCTCCCAAGAAGCTGGGATTATAGATGTGCATCACTAAGCCCTGCTAATTTTTGTATTTTTTTTTTTTTAAGTAGAGATGGGGTTTCACCGTGTTGGCCAGGATGGTCTTGATCTGTTGACCTTGTGATCCACCTGCCTTGGCCTCCCAAAGTGCTGGGATTACAGGCATGAGTCACTGCACCTGACCCTATTCATATTTTTGTTACCTTTAAAACATTTCCTTTTTGGGAGTTGTTTTAAATTATAAGGTACATATTTTATATAGAGATACATATATATTGGATGTATTTATACACATGTTCATATTTTTTTCTGCTAGAGTACTTGATGAAAAAAGTTGAGAAACTATTTGTCTCAACCACCCACCCCAGATTTTCTCAGGCTAGACCAGCAAGATTAACCCTAGATTTTTCTCCCATCCCCAGCTCTGTGAAAACAAGAGAGAGCTTCCAGGAGATGAGCAGAAAACGTGCATTTCTCTTTATGGCTTGGTCATTGACCTTGAACAGAATTCTTCCGAGGTGTCGTATGAAATGCCTTCATCCTGATATCCTCTGTGGGCAGTCAAGCAAAGGCATTGTCTAAATCAGTGGTTCTTAACCAGGGGTGATTCTGTTTCTTCTTCTCCCGAGGGAACATATGGCAATCTCAAGAGACATTTTTGGTTGCCAGGGGAAAGTAGGTACAGCTGGCATCTGCTGCCGAATGGAGAACTGTGAGCTTCCTTTAGTAATGTTTTTCACTTTTTGTTTGCTGTCTGGATAGCTTTGAAACTGTTCATTTAGTTTGAGAATTTTGGAGCTTTATACTCAGAGACAAGCTTGGAGATCATACACAGAGAGCACATTTTGGCTGGGTGCAGTGGCCCAGACCTGTAATCCCAGCACTTTTGGAGGCCGAGGCAGGCGGATCACGAGGTCAAGAGATCAAGACTATCCTGGCCAAGATGGTAAAACCCTGTCTCTACTAAAAATACAAAAATTAACTGGGTGTGGTGGCATGCATCTATATCTCAGCTACTTGGGAAGCTGAGGCAGGAGAATCGCTTGAACCTGAGAGGCGGAGGTTGCAGTGAGCCAAGATCACTCAAGCCTGGGTGACAGAGCTAGACTCTATCTCAAAAAAAAAAAAAAAAGAGTACATTTTCTCTTGTATGTTTATATGTGAATGCCTTATAGATTTGAAGTATTAATTTTTCATCTAGTTAAGGTTTTATTCATAGTATTTTGGGCAAAAGTCTTTTGAGTATATTCATGGATTGCTTTTTTCCTTTGTGTAGTTTGAAATCCTGAAGAAATACCTTGACAGCGGTGGAGATATCCTTGTGATGCTAGGTGAAGGTGGAGAATCCAGATTTGGCACCAATATTAACTTTTTACTAGAAGAATATGGAATCATGATTAATAATGGTAACTATTTTTATTATTTTCAGTAGACAGAGTAATTTTCTATTTATTATTTGATATCAGCCCTCTGGGTCCAGTGGCATCATGGAAAAAGCCCTGGGCTGAGTGTGCATGTTTTAATGTTCCATTCTCATATGCATTCTGAGCCTCCTGGGCCTGGGCTGCTTCCATGTATAAAGTGAGATGAATTGGAACTGAGTTCAGGGTGCCTTTCATGTCAAAATTAGTATGAGTCTGTAATATCAAACTTATTTCTAACCTAAAATATGTCTCCTTCTCTTTTTGACTCGTAGATGCTGTGGTTAGAACTGTATATCATAAATATTTCCATCCTAAAGAAGCTCTAGTTTCCAGTGGAGTCTTGAACAGGTAAGCATGTTGAAAGCAGGAATACCTTGGCCAGGCACAGTGGCTCATGCCTAGGCCACTAGTAATCCCAGCACTATGGAAGGCCAAGGCATGTGGATCATTTGAGGTCAGGAGTTTGAAACAAGCTTGGCCAACATGGTGAAACCTTGTCTCTACTAAAAATGCAAAAACTCAGCTGGGTGTGGTGGTGTGCACCTGTACTCCCAGCTACTCGGGAGGCTGAGGCAGGAGAATCGAGTGGAGGCTGCAGTGAGCCAAGATTGTACCATTGCACTCCAGCTTGAGTAACAGAGCAAGACTTCATCTCAAAAAAAAAAAAAAGAAAGAAAACAGAAATATCTTTACACATAATTCATTTCTTTTACATGAATCTTCCCTCATCTCTTCTCACACAGTTCTTTTTACTATCCCTTCTTCTTTCTTGCCTTTTTATGATATAATTTATTTTACTATATTACTACTTCTCATTCATCAAATTATATTTCTCCATCTTTTGAAACTTACTTCACATACACCTTATTTTTTATTTTGTTTTTGAGACAGAGTCTTGCTCTGTTGCTCAGGCTGGAATACAGTGGTGGGAACACAGCTCACTGCAGCCTTGACTTCCCAGGCTTAAGTGATCCTCCCACCTTAGTCTCCCAAGTAGCTGGGGCTACAGACATGCACTATCATGCCTGGCTAATTTTTTTAAATTTTTGTAGAAATGGGGCCTCACCATGTTGCCCAGGCTGGTCTTGAACTCCTGGCCTCAAGTGATCCTCCCACCTTGGCCTCCCAAAGTGCTAGGATTACAAGCTTAGCCATAATGCCTCGCCCACATTTACCTTTTTGCCATTTAGGATACTTCCAGTTGCAAATGACAGAAAACCCTATTCAAATGGGGTTAAACAATAAAGAGACTAAACAATAAATAATTTTTTGATAAAGAGAATAAACAGTAAATTCATGTAATCAGAAAGCCCAGAAATAGTGCAGGTATTGGATATGGATTAACTGAAAGATTCCTGTCATCAGGGATCCAGGTCTATTTCTCTGCAGTTCTCTTGGCTCTGCTCTCCTCTATGTGTGAGCTGAATAGTTTTAACAGTTCCCATATTTATATCTGCATGCCATACCATCTGAAACAAGAGAGTATGCCTTGGTCCCAGCATTCCCAGGAAGAGTAGTCCTGGTTGGGTGTGGTGGCTCACACCTGTAACCCCAGCACTTTGGGAGGCCTAGGCAGTCAGGTCACATGATGTCAGGAGTTTGAGACCAGCCTGGCCAACATGGTGAAACCCCATCTCTACTGAAAATACAAAAATTAGCCAGGTGTGTGGTGTGAGACTATAATCCCATCTCCTCTGGAGGCTGAGATGAGAGAACCCAAGTGATGCAAAAGTTGTGGTGAGCTAAGATCATGCCACTACACTCCAGCCTGGGCAACAGACAGAGACCCTGTCTCAAAAATAAATAAATAAATTTTTTGAAAGGCCGGACGCAGTGGCTCATGCCTGTAATCCCAGCCCTTTGGGAGGCCAAGGCGGATGGATAACCTGAGGTCTGGACTTTGATACCAGTGTGACCAACATGGGGGAACCCCGTCTCTACTAAAAAATGCAAAATTAGCTGGGCGTGGTGGCACAATCCTGAAATCCCAGCTACTTGGGAGACTGAGGCAGGAGAATCATTTGAACCCTGGAGGCACAGGTTGTGGTGAGCCGAGATCACCCCATTGCACTCCAGCCTGGGCAACAAGAGCAAACTCTTGTCTTAAAAAAAAAGTAGTCCTGAGATTTGCTCTGTTTAAACTGGCCTAAGCTACAGTGTGTGTCCCAAAGTGGCCTGATCGCATAGCTAGGTCATCCATCCCCTGCAGCCTGTGATGGGGTCACCTTTCTCTTATCTGGATCCTAAAACATAAATCAGAGATTCTTAGGAAGTTGGAAATGAATGCATGAGGGGGGTAGCATCAGATGCCTTCTGAGCTTTTCTATGTTTAAAATTATTCATTCCACACTTCCTTTATGCTAGGAATTCTACTGAAATATGGACCTAGAATATGAACCCCTTCCTCAAAAGTCACAAGAGAGGAGAACTGATTCTGACACTAATGTTAACTTTTGCAAGATTCCAAAAGATGTGTGGGTCTACTTTTATTTTTTAAAATTGTGTCTTGAAGTCTCCAAAATCCTTGCATCCAGTTCATACTTACTATATTAATGAATGCAGTGTGAAATTCTCAAATTTTTTTTTTTGTTTACTAGATTTTAATTTTTCTTCTTCAAGGGAAATTAGCCGAGCTGCGGGAAAGGCTGTGCCTGGAATCATTGATGAGGAAAGCAGTGGAAACAATGCCCAGTGAGTGGGTTTTCTGATGCCACATGAGGAGGACGTATCATTTTGTTGAAGAGTCTGCTTTTTCTAAATGAAAAGATTTTTTTTTCAGGGTTAAAAAAATAATCAGAATTTGAACAGGTCAAGAGGAAAAAAGTAGAAGCTCTGCACTGTAAGTCCATGTTCCTCTTCCGGAGGTAGTCTTAATAATATAGTATTCAGGCTGGGTGTGGTGGCTTACACCTGTAATCCCAGCACTTTGGGAGGCCAAGGTGGGCAGATCACAAGGTCAGGAGTTGGAGACCAGCCTGACCACCATGGTGAAACCCTGTCTCTACTAAAAATAACAAAAAGTAGCTGGGCATGATGGTGCGTGCCTGTAATCTCAGCTACCCTTGAGGCTGAGGCAGGAGAATTGCTTGAATCTAGGAGGTGAAGGTTGCAGTGAGCCAAGATTGCACCACTGCACTCTAGCCTGGATGACAGAGTGAGACTCTGTCACAGAAATAATAATAATATAGTATTGAGGCTGGGCGCAGTGGCTCATACCTGTAATCAGCACTTTGGGAGGCCGAGGCAGGTGGATCACCTGAGGTCAGGAGTTTGAGACCAGCATAACCAACATGGGGAAACCTCGTCTCTACTAAAAATACAAAAAGTAGCCGGGTGTGGTGGCACATGCCTATAGTCCCAGCTACTCGGGAGGCTGAGACAGGAGAATCGATTGAACCCAGGAGGTGGAGGTTGCAGTGAGCTGCCATTGCACCATTCCACACTAGCCTGGGGAACAGAGCGAGATTTTGTCTCAAAAAAAAAATTATATTTGTTATTATATATAATAAAGCATAGGCCATGCACAGTGGCTTACCTGTAATCCCAGCATTTTGGAAGGCCAAGGCAGGTGGTTCACCTGAGGTCAGGAGTTCAAGACCAGCCTGACTGACATGGAGAAACCCTGTCTCTTCTAAAAATATAAAATTAGCCACGTGTGGTGGTACATGCCTGTGATCCCAGCTACTTGGGAGGCTGAGGCAGGAGAATCACTTGAACCTGGAAGGCAGAGCTTGCAGTGAGCAGAGACTGTGTCATTGCACTCCAGCCTGGGCAACAAGAGTGAAACTCCATCTCAAAAAAAAAAGAAGTTCACGTGTGCTTTTTTTTTTTTTTTTTTTTTTTTGAGACAGGGTCTTGGTCTGTCACCCAGTCTAGAGTGCAATGGCCTGATCTCAGCTCACTGCAACCTCTGCTTCCTGAGTTCAAGCCATTTTTCTGCCTCAGCCTCCCATGTAGCTGGGATTATAGGCACCTGCCACCATGCCTGGCTAATTTTTGTATTTTTTTTTTTTTTTTTTGAGACAGAGTTTCGCTCTTGTTACCCAGGTTGGAGTGCAATGGTGCGATCTCGGCTCACTGCAACATCCGCCTCCTGGATTCAGGCAATTCTCCTGCCTCAGCCTCCCGAGTAGCTGGGAGTACAGGCACGCGCCACCATGCCCAGCTAATTTTTTGTATTTTTAGTAGAGGCGGGGTTTCACCATGTTGACCAAGATGGTCTCGATCTCTTGACCTCGTGATCCACCCGCCTCAGCCTCCCAAAGTGCTGGGATTACAGGCTTGAGCCACTGCGCCCGGCCTAATTTTTGTATTTTTTTTAACCATGCAACAATGTCTTTTATTATGTATCCGGTTTGAAAATTATTTACTGAATCTCTCCATACACAGGCAAAAATAAGTGTGCCACTTAACATACTGAAACTTGCCTAACTTAATCATTGCCTAGAGAAGGGAAAATTATCCCTAAAATGTGCTTAACCAGGAGGTCAATGCATCTGCCGACCTCCAAGAACATGGAGATGAATGTGATAGACAGACTGTCCACCATCTGAACCTTCATTCACTACCATTCGGTAGCCCTTATTCAGGCCCAGATCTGCAGCACATTTCTTGCCAACAATCATTAAGTGTTCAAGAAGACTTTCATCATCATCTGCTGCTGCAGAAATCTGGGATATATGTTTCTTGGGTATCACCAGAAAATGTATTGGTGCTTGAGGAAAAATGTTGTGGAAAACAAGGCACCGGTCATGCTCGAAAATTATTTTGGCTGGGATTTCCTTGCGGATGATCTTCCCGAAGATCGTGTCGCCACCAGGCCGAGCGACCTGAGCCTTGGCGCTCTCATCTGCCATCTCTGCCTCTCTCCCGCGCGGTGGCCAAGGGCTAATTTTTGTATATTTAGTAGAGACAGAGTTTCACCATGTTGGTCAGGCTGGTCTTGAACTCTTTACCTCAGGTGATCCACCCCCCTCAGCCTCCCAAAGTGCTAGGATAAGTGAACATCTTTGTATGTACAGTTTTGTGCACTTGTGGCAGTATTTTTTAGAGTAAACTTCTCCGCATTGAAATTTCTGGGTCAGAGGTCTTTCAACTGATGGGTTACCAAATATAATGCACTGATAGATGTCTGTCAGGTAGATGGTAGCACTTACAGTCCCTATGAGCACACCCCATTTTCCTCTCTTGCCAGCATGGAGTATTCTAGTAAAAATGGTATCTGTTTCTTTTAATTTGCATTTTTTATTATTAGTATGGCCTTTAAAGTCTGTTGGCTGATTGTATTTCTTCTGTGAATTTCCTGTTTACTGCTCTTTGGCCATTTTTCTACTGATGGTTTGTCTTTTCTCATTCATTTATAATAACTCTGTACTTTGAGATATTTTACCCAATAAAAATTGGAATTTTTATTCAATTTTCATGCACATTTCAAAATTTTAGAAATGAAATAATGTGGGCCGGGTACTGTGGCTCACACCTATAATCCCAACACTTTGGGAGGCTGAGGCAGGCAGATCACTTGAGCTCAGGAGTTCAAGACCAGCTTGGGCAACATAGTGAAACCCTGTCTCTACCAAAAAATTACAAAAATTTAGCCAGGTGTTGGTGGCTCACACCTGTTTTCCCAGCTACACAGGAGACTGAGACTGGAGAATTATTTGACTCCGGGAAGCAGAGGTAGCAGTGAGCTGAGATTGCACTGCTGCACTCCAGCTGGGTGACAGATGAGACCCTGTCTCAAAAAATAAATAAACAAAATGAAATTAAAAAATAAAATAATGTGATTAGCTGTGTGCAGTGGCTCACACCTATAATCCCAGCACTTTGGGGGATCAAGACGGATGGATGGGTTGAGGCCAAGAGTTCAAGACCAGTCTGGGCAACATAGTGGGACCCTGTCTCTACAAAAAATATTTTTAAATTAGCCAGATGTGGTGGCACACACCCATAGTCCCAGCTACTCTGGAGGCTGAGGCAAGAGGATTGCTTGAACCCAGGAGGTCGAGGCTGCAGTGAGCTGTGATCATGCCACTATACTCCAGCCTGGGTGACAGAGCAAGACTGTCTTAAAAAAATAAATAAATAAAATAAGATCTGGTCCTAGTAAAGAAATAGTAAAAAATGTATAATACCTCTGTACTTTGAGATATTTTACCCAATAAAAATTGACATTTTTATGTAGTTAAAGTATGTTGCAAAGTTTTAGTAATGAAAATAATGTGGAGGGTGGGGGTTATTTGTGTATAGTAAAAGTAATTAGAGATGGATGACATAATTCTAGCTAACCATTTGGAGAAACAGTTTAATTTTCATATCATACCCCAAAATACGTTCTGGATAGGCTATAATTTTTAATATTAGAAATGAAATATTAAAAATGAAAGCATATACCAGAGGCAGTGGCTCATGCCTATAATCCCAGCACTTTGGGAGACTGAAATGGGCTCCTGATCACCTCAGATCAGGAGTTCGAGACCAGCCTGACCAATGTAATGAAACCCTGTCTCTACTAAAAATACAAAATTAGCCAGGTGCCATGGCAGGTGCCTGTAAGTCCCAGCTACTTGGGAAGCTGAGGTAGGAGAATCACTTGAACCTGGGAGGCAGAGGTTGCAGTGAGCCGAGATTGCACCATTCCACTCCAGCCTGGGCAAAAAGACTGAAACTCTGTCTCAAAAAAATATATACGAAAATACAAAAATTTGCTGGGCATAGTGGTGCAGGCCTGTAATCCCAGCTACTTGGGAGGTGGAGGCAGGAAAATTGCTGGGATGTGGAGGTTGCAGTGAGCCAAGATCCCTCCACTACACTCCAGCCTGTAGAACAGAGCGAGACTCTGTCTCGAAGAAATAAAATGAAATGATGAAATGAAAAAAGAAATAATAGAAAAAAAAAAAAGAAATGGTGAAATGAGGCCAGGCGTGGTGGCTTATGCCTGTAATCCCAGCACTTTGGGAGGCCAAGGCAGGCGGATCACGAGGTCAAGGGATGGAGGCCATCCTGGCCAACATGGTGAAACCCCAACTCTACTAAAAATACAAAAATGAGCTGGGCATGGTGGTACGTGCCTGTTGTCTCAGCTGCTCAGGAGGCTGAAGAAGGAGAATTGTTTGAACCTGGGAGGTGGAGGTTGCAGGGAGCCGAGATCATGCCACTGCACTCCAGCCTGGCAACAGAGTAAGACTCTGTCTCAAAAAAAAAATGATGAAATGAAATGAAATATTGAAATGAGATAAATGAAATGGAATGGAGAAGTGCTGGTTACTCTGGCTCATGCCTGTAATCCCAGCTCTTTGAGAGATTGAGGCAGACAGATCACCTGAAGTTAAGAGTTCAAGACCAACCTGGCCAACAAGTGAAACCCCATCTTTACTAAAAAATACAAAACTTAGCTGTACGTTGTGGCACATGCCTGTAATCCTAGCTACCCAGGCAGCTGAGGCAGGAGAATTGCTTGAACCTGGGAAGTGCAGATTGCAATGAGCTGAGATTACACCACTACACTCACTCCAGCTTTGGCAACAGAGTGAGACTCTAACAAAAAAAAATTGTGTGTGTGTGTGTGTGTGTGTGTGTGTGTATATTTTAAATTCTTGGAGTAGGGAATACCTTTCTTAGTAGAAACCAAAGTAAAGTCGTAAAGGGGGAAATTGTATAGCAACATCATTCACAGAGTTAATATTTTTGACCATCAATAATCAATCTAATTATTTGACTTTCTGTCGGCTTATCCAATTGGTTTAGGTAAACGAACTGTAGACTTGGAGTTAGAAGGAATTGTTAGAAATTTCTGATTTCTCTCTTACTTTCCAAGGGTAACCCAAGGCGTAGTAACTGTTTCGCTATCTGTGTAATGGAGACAATGTTAATCTTACAAAATTGTTGGAAAATTTCAGTGAAGTGATATTTGTGAAAGTGCTTTGTAAAGTTTAAAGCATGGTACCCTACCTGTTGTTGCATTATGACTTTGTAATTAATTTTGGTGAAGGGAATATGTTTAGTTGTTCCTTTCCTGGGTCATCTAGGAAACACAGCTTCCTGGTAGACTTTGAGATATCTTGGCCTGTTGGAGTCTCAGATTCTCATTTATCCTCATTTCCTATTAGGTCCCTTCTTCCTTCTCTCACTCTGTTGTAGCCACACTATCTTTGTTTGAATCCTTAAATAAGTGAAGCTTGTACTCACCTTAGGGACTTTACACAAGCTATTCTCTCTTTTAGGAAAACTCTTTCCCCAACTTTTCACTGAGCTAATCTTATTCATTCACATGTGGTTTGGAAAGTTCTGTTTTGGGGATGGGTGTTTAAGTTTATACTTAGTCTTATCAAAATGTCAATCTCATTGATTTCTGTTTTTTTGTTTTTCTTTTCAGAGTTTCACCCCCGCTGGAGTGCAGTTGTGCCAGCTAAGCTCACAGCAACCTCCACCTCCCGGGTTCAAGCAATTCTCCTGCCTTAGTCTCCTGAGTACATGGAATTACAGGTGCCTGCCACCACACCGGCTAATTTTTGTATTTTGAGTAGAGACAGGGTTGACCATGTTGGCCAGGCTGGGCTCGAACTCCTAACCTCAGGTGATCCACCCGCCTCAGCCTCCCAAAGTGCTGGAATTACAGGCATGAGCCACCACACTGCCTAGTCTCATTTATTTCTTAGTAGTAATAAAAGAAATAGAGGCATGTAAATAATAGTGGATAGTTTTTATCTTATTACTCCCTTCTGTCTTGAGAATCATCTTCCATTGATTGCATTTGGGGAAAGTGGTGGGGATAGATGTGCATTGACCTCCATATGACTATTTCTCCCACTTACCTTTTCTTCGTCCATGGACAACTGCTCATTTTCTTCTGCTTCTGGCCTGGAGCTCATGGGCTGTAATCCACCTTGCTGGGATACTGCTGGAGTAAGGGTGGAAGGGAGAGTAAGGATAATCTGGGTCAGGTACCACTTCTCTTTCATGGTATGACAACAAAAGTCATAGGATACATGAGACTTTACTGAAGGAATGGGGAAGATTAACACCAGAGGGAGGCCAGACCTGGTGTTTTACCCTTGTAATCCCAGCATGTTGAGAATTCAAAGTGGGTAAATGTCCTGAGCTCAGGAATTCGAGACCAGCCTGGGCAACATAGTGAAACACCATTTCTACAAAAACTACAAAAATTAGTTGGGTGTGGTGGCATGCACCTGTTATCCCAGCTACTCAGGGGGCTAAGGCAAGAGAATCACTTGAGCCCAGGAAATTGAGGCTGCAGTGAGCCATGTTCATGCCACTGCACTCCATCCTGGGCAACAAAGTAAGACCCTGTCTTAAAAAGCAAAAACACTGGAGGGAAATAATTTTAAACTTAAGCTAAAAAGAATTTTTGTGGTCTAAAGAAAAAGGTAAATTAAAATCTCTATGAGGAACTCCTCATGGGCGCTTCCCCCTGGTTTCTAACCTTATGCTCTGGTCTTGAGATCTGTTTCTCTCCATTCTGAAAGCAATTCTTTCAAGCTTTGCAGAGCTCCACCTTTCAGTAAAACCCTAGCCCGTCCTGCATGGGTTGGCCTCACCCCAGGATCTGTACATCACCCCTGCTCCTCTATCCCACACCCTCTCCAGGAGTACATTGCCCCAGGTCAGACCAATTCACTCTGGATAATCTAAGGCAAGTCTTTGTTAGGACAGTGTAGAGCAGAGGAGGGACTCCAAAGCAGATCTGTGTAGAGATGTCCAATATGGAGTATATTTATGCCTCTGTTCATGTGACATTCAACTAGTAACATACCCTTCCATTGACAGACATTAATTCTTAGAGATAGCACCAGCCAAACCTAAGGAAAAAGAGCATATTTGCCACTAAGATATTATTGCAGAGCAACTCAAGTATAGCTGGAGTTCAGTTCTTGGATGAGGCCCCATCCTCTTTCTCCCCGCTCCATTAGGGGCTACTTTAGTTCTCGCAGATACAGTCATTTATACTTTCCTATTAATTTTCTTTCATATTTGTTAAAATGCTTTGTTAAATGTGTAGCTAGAGTTGTCCCAATTTTTAAGTTAAACCGAAGCTTACAAGGAATTTTGTGTTTGATAATAAATCAAAGAGGAGTGTTACTTGGCTGAGTGCAGTGGCTCATGGCTATAATCCCAGCACTTTGGGAGGCTGAGGCAGGCAGATGACTTGAGTCCAGGAGTTCAAGACCTACCTGGCCAACATGGTAAAACCCTGGCTCTACTAAAAATACAAAAATTAGCTGTGTGCAATAGCAGGCACATGTAGTCCCAGCTACTTGGGAGGCTGAGGCAGGAGAATAGCTTAAACCTGGGAGGTGGTTACTAAACCTGGGAGGTGGTTACAGTGATCCAAGATCCCACCACTGCACTGCAGCCTGGGTGACAGAATGAGACTTTCAAAAAAGACTGTTAAGAAACGCTGAAATTATTTTTAGAATTTTTGTATTCATGTTTTTAAGATTTGAATGTGTTTAATTTCTTGCAGGGCTCTCACCTTTCTATATCCTTTTGGTGCCACATTGAGTGTCATGAAACCAGCAGTGGCTGTTCTGTCTACAGGCTCTGTTTGCTTCCCACTTAACAGACCCATTCTGGCTTTCTATCACTCAAAGGTACAGCCTTTCTTAGATATGGGTATAGATGTTATTTTTATTGTTGAAATAATAAAAACTACCTTACCATTTCCAGAAATCTTTTATATGTTTTCTCATTGGTCTTCCTGCCAGTCCTGCAAAGTAGTATTTCAGTTTTATGCATTTTGCTTATGGGGAAACAGTGGATTATCCAGCAACCGATGAAGTTAAGGCCTAAACCTAGCTCTTACTATTCTAAACCCAAAGCTTTTTCACTATAGCATGAGGCTACCTGTATTATAACTTTTAAAGTTATTTTTTTCTTTTTTCTGTTTTTTTAATTCTATGGCAGCATATTGATTAAAATAACTTTTAATCCTATCTGTGACTATGGGCTGTCACCCTCAGTGTAAAGAGAATACATTCAGGAATAGATGGAGTCAACATATTATACAAAATAACACAGAATTATATTGCTGTTAGTTTATCCTAGGAAAACATATCAGGAAATGATTTTTCCAGTTATTTTCCTACAGATCCCATAGAAATGTGGGCACAGCTAGTCTCAGGTAGTGACCCAACATCCCACTGCCTTTTTATTTTTTAGAGACAGAGTCTTGTTCTGTCACCCTGGCTGGAGTGCAGTAGCACAATCTTGGCTCACTGCAACTCCGCCTCCCAGGTTCAAGGAATTCTCCCTCAGCCTCCTGAGTAGCTGGGATTACAGGCATCTGCCACCATGCTGCTCATGCCTGTAATCCCAGTATTTTGGGAGGCCAAGGTGGGCGGATCACTTGAGGTCAGGCGTCTGAGACCAGCCTGGCCAACATGATAAAACCCAATCTCTGCTAAAAATATAAAAATTGGCCAGGCGTAGTGGCTCACACCTGCAATCCCAGCACTTTGGGAGGCTGAGGCAGGTGGATCACTTTAGGTTGGGAGTTTAAGACCAACCTGACCAATGTGGAGAAACCCCCATCTCTACTAAAAATACAAAATTAGCTGGGTGTGGTGGCATATTCCTGTAATCCCAGCTACTTGGGAGGCTAAAGCATAAGAATCACTTGAGCCTGGTAGGTGGAGGTTGCAGTGAGTCGAGATTGTACCACTACACTCCAGCCTGGGCAACAAGAGCAAAACTCGGTCTCAAAAACAAAACAAAACAAAAATTGGCTGGGTGCGGTGGCTCATGTCTGTAATCCCAACACTTTGGGAGGCTGAGGAAGGCAGATCATGAGGTCAGGACATTGTGACCATCCTGGCCAACATGATATGAAACCTGTCTCTACTAAAAATATAAAAATTAGCTGAGTGTGGTAGCATGTGCCTGTAATCCCAGTGACTTGGGAGCCTGAGGCATGAGAATTTCGTGGACCCAGGAGGCAGAGGTGGCAGTGAGCCAAGATGGCGGTACTGCACTCCAGCCTGGAGACAGAGCAAGATTCCTTCTCAAAAAAAAAAAAATTAGCTTGTGGAGGGCTATGAAGCATTTGCTTTTGATGTGGTACAAATCAGAGTTTGTTTTGCCAGTTTTTAAAAAATGTATAGAAAGTATGTACTTATATCTCTTACATCTCTGGCTTAGTATAATTCTTTTCCTAGGGATATTATAACTGCCTGTTCCCTGTATGTGATGTAGCTAGAAAAACTAATTTCATTTTGTATTCTTACTATTGAACTGTTTTTCTCATTACAAAACTAATGCTCATTGTTGGGCTGGGAGTGGTGGCTTACTCCTATAATCTCAGCACTTTGGAAAGTCAGGACAGGTGAATCACTTTAGGTCAGGAGTTCAAGACTAGCTTGGCCAACATGGTGAAACCCTGTCTCTACTAAAACCACAAAAAATTAACCCGGTGTGATGGTATGTGCCTGTGACCCCAGCTACTCGGGAGACCGAAGCAAGAGATTGGCTTGAACCCTGGAGGCAGAGGATGTAGTGAGCCAAGTTCATGCCACTGCACTCCAGCCTGGGCAACGGAGCAAGACACTGTCTCAAAAAAAAAAATAAAAAAAATAACGTTGCAGAAATATTACAATAGTTGTAGAAAAATTGAACAATACAGAGATAAAGCAGAAGGAAAAAAGAATTCCCCCATCACATTACTCTAAAACTCCCAAGACAGCCCAGGCTGACATATTATTCACTCTCTCCCACTTTTGCTTTGCCTTATTTTATTTGCCTCATAAGCTTTAAAGTAGGATAGCTATATAATTTATAGTATAGGTGAGACGTGCTGACTCAGCCTGTAATCTTAGCACTTTGGGAGGTTAAGGAGGTAGGATCACTTGAGGCCAGGAGTTCAATACGAGCCTGGGCAACATAACAAGACCTGTCTTTACAAAAAAGTTAGCTGGATGTCATGTTGTACTCTTGTAGTCCTGGCTGCTTGGGGGGGACTGAGGATCACTTGAACCCAGGAGTTGAAGGCTATAGTGAGCTGTGGTTGTGCCACTACACTCCATCCTGACAGAACAGAGTGACACCCTGTCTCTAAAAATGGAAGAAAAAAAAAATTACAGTGTACTTTTTTTTCTTTTAACTCAGTGATATTTTAGAAGCATTTTCCCATGTTACTGAAAACCCTTTATGATATGAAATTTAACTGCTGAAGAAGTTTCCATTATTCTGAATTACTTTTTTGAGAACATTTGGATTTCTAATTTTTTGTGACTATAACTACACAACTGTGCATAGAATTTTTTATGTTTCAGACTGCTTTGTTGCATATGTTAACAGTTTCAGCAACAATGTGTAGAAGAACTCATTTCTTTTTTTTGTTGGTTTCTTCCCTTTTTTTTGAAGAACTCATTTCACTAAAACTTGATCAGCACTGTTTATATAATTTTTTCATATTAATTTATCTGATAGGCAAAAGTACTTTGTTTTTATTTGTTAAAAATTACAAGTATTGGGGCCAGGCACAGTGGCTCACACCTGTAATCCCAGCACTTTAGGAGGCCGAGGCAGGGGAATTACCTGAGGTCAGGAGTTCGAGCCAGCCTGGCCAACATGGTGAAACCCCATCTCCACTAAAAATATAAAAATTAGCCAGGCATGGCAGTGCATGCCTATAATCCCAGTTACTCAGGAGGCTGAGGCAGGAGAATTGCTTGAACCTGGGAGGCAGAGGTTACAGTGAGCTGAGATTAGGCCATTGTACTCTAGGCGACAAGAGTGAGACTGTCTCAAAAAAAAAATTATTAAAAATTTTTCTCATTAGCCAGTTGTTATTTTGTGACTCTTTCATGCTTGTGCCTTAGTTTTCTTTTTTATGTGACATGGAGTCTTACTCTCTTGCCCAGGCTGGAGTGCAGTGGCATGATGTTGGCTCACTGCAACCTCCCCTCCCAGGTTTGAGGGATTCTCCTGCCTCAGCTTCCCGAGTAGCTGGGATTACAGGCACATGCCACCATGCCTGGCTAATTTTTTTATTTTTAGTAGAGATAGGGTATCACCACGTTCAGGCTGGTCTCGAACTTCTGAACTCAAGTGATCCACCCTCCTTGGCCTCCTAAAGTGTTAGGATTATAGGCATGAGCCACCTCACCCAGCCTTGCCTTAGCTTTCTTTGAGACAGAGTCTTACTCTGTTGCCCAGCGTGGAGTGCAGTGGCATGATCTTAGCTCACTGTAACTTTGCCTCCTGGGTTCAAGCAATCCTTCCGCTGCAGCCTCCCAAGTAGCTGTGGGTATATAGGCACACACCACCATGTCCGACTAATTTTTGTATTTTTAGTAGAAACAGGGTTTCACCTCGCCATGTTGACGAAGCTGGTCTTAAACTACTGACCTCAGGGTGATCCGTCCATCTCGACCTCCCAAAGTGCTGGGATCACAGGCATGAGCCACTGCACCCAGCCTGCCTTAGCTTTTCTATTTGGATCTTATTTAAATACTTTTTTTTGGTAGCCATAGGTATCTTTAACTGTGCAGATTGTCATTAGGTTCATCTTTTTTTCCCTTAAAATTATGATCTTCATTTATAAGATAAATAAAAATGGGAAAATGCTGTAGAATCAATTTAATTTTTTTTTTTTTTTAATTTTTAGAGGCAGGATTTTGTTCTGTCTCCCAGGCTATAGTGCAGTAGTGCAGTCATAGCTCATTGTAACCTCGAACTCTTGGGCTCAAGTGATTCTCCTGCCCCAAGTAGCTGGACTATAGTTGTGCCTCACCACACCCAGCTAATGTAGAATTAATTTATGTTAGTTTTTGTTAAATAGAAAAATACAGAAGTGCCTAAAATGAGAGGCAGGTTAAAGTATAGTAGTTATTATGGTTGGTATTTCTAAACTTTAAAATCTAGTTGTGAATTGGCATTCTTCAGTATATAAGACAGTTGCCAGCATGATTCTGAAAAGTGTCTGGGGACTAGGATACATGAGATGCATTTTCAGATTTGAGTATCTGACCCTGCTTTGTTGTTAATAGAACCAAGGTGGGAAGCTGGCAGTGCTTGGTTCATGTCACATGTTCAGTGACCAGTATTTGGACAAAGAAGAAAACAGCAAAATCATGGTGAGCTTTTTTTTTTGTCACATTAATGTACAATGTATAAGTCCTATTTTCATGTCATTGAAAAAAATACTGACAAGTTTATTTGCTCATTTAAAACCAGCTACTCAGAACCCATTATATGCCAGGCACTAAGAATACAAAGGCAAGTCAGGCATAGTCCCTGCTTTGGAAAAATCTGTAATACACTGAGCGAGAAAGACAAATTAGTAAACCCAGAAGGGTATTTCTAAGCATGCCAGGCAGGGTGGGAGCTGAGCCTGGAGAGACAGAGAGGAACAAGTTCAACAGCAGTATCACGTGTAAGGCCAAAGAGCTTGAACTTGATGCTGAAAGCCACAGGGAGCCCTTGGGTTTTCTGCAGCCTTGGGCAATGCCAGATCTGTGTTTTGGAAACCTCTTTGTTGTTGTTGTTAATGAAAGAAATTCTAGAATGTTTTAGAAAGATTCTTTTTTTTTTTTTTCTGAGATGGTGTCTCACTTTTGTTGCCCAGGCTGGAGTGCAATGGCCTGATCTCCGCTCACCGCAACCTCTGCTTCCTGAGTTGAAGCAGTTCTCCTGTCTCAGTCTCCCGAGTAGTTGGGATTACAGGCATGCGTTAAAAACACCCAGCTGATTTTGTATTTTTAGTAGAGACGGTGTTTCTCCGTGTTGGTCAGGCTGGTCTCAAACTCCTAACCTCAGGTGATCCGCCCAGCTCAGCCTCCCAGAGTGCTAGGATTACAGGTGTGAGCCACTGCACCTGGCCCAGAAAGACTCTTCTGTCAGTTGTGTGGAAGGTGGAAAGGAGGAAGCAGCCTAGATCCAGTTAGGAAGCCAGTGGTATTACTAGGCAAGAAAGAATAGAGACCTGAATTATGGGAGTAAAGGTGTGAATGGAGAGGAGGGGCCGATGTCATGGAATGGTAATTAGGATGGGTTCTGTAGAGGTGTGCTCACTGACTGATGTGGCAAGTAAAGTAAAGGCATTGCAATTTTGTCAAAATAATGCAAAGGGAACATGTCTTCTGGAGGATGGCAGAGGGAGGAAGCAAATATCTGTAGACCATGTGTCAGAGCTGTCCATTGGTGTGATTCCAGTGAGAGGAAGAAACTCCCGCTGAACTATTTTTTTCATGAAATAAATTCCTTCAGCCTTATAATTGTTATATTGGGAGATTAAGATCTTATTTCTGTGGAATTTACATGAAGTTTCAAATGTCTCTAGACACATTATGGGAGATCTAGATATTCTATTTTTTTTTTTGGACATGGAGTCTCCTTATCTCACCCAGGCTGGAGTGTAATGGCACCGTCTTGGGTCACTGCAACCTCCACCTCCCAGGTTCAAGCGATTCTCCTGCCTCAGCCTGCTGAATAGTTGGGATTACAGGCGCCTGCCACCACACCAGGCTGATTTTTATATTTTTAGTAGAGACGGGGTTTCATCATGTTGGCCAGGTTGGTGTCGAACACCTGACTTCAGGTGATCCATCCGCCTCAGCCTCCCAAAGTGCTGAGATTACAGGTGTGAGACACCACGCCTTGCCTAGATATTCTGCTTTTTAAAAGTTTTACTTTATTTATTTATCCATTTTATTTCATTTTAGCTTCTGGGGTACATATAAAGAACATGCTAGATTGTTGCATAGGTACATACATGGCAATGTGGTTTGCTGCCTCCATCCTCATCACCTATATCTGGCATTTCTCCCCATGTTATCCCTCCCCATCTCCCTACTCCGCACTGTCCGTCCCCTATTCCCCCACAACAGACCTCAGTGTGTGATGCTCCCCTCCCTGTGTCCATGTGTTCTCATTGTTCAACACTTGCCTATGAGTGGGAACATGTGGTATTTGATTTTCTGTTCTTGTGTCAGTTTGCTGAGAATGATGGTTTCCAGGTTCACCCATGTCTCTACAAAGGACATGAACTCATCGTTTTTTATGGCTGCATAGTGTTCCATGGTGTATATGTGCCACATTTTCTCTGTCCAGTCTATCATCAATGGGCATTTGGGTTGGAAACAGATTAATCAGGATTGTGAACAAGTTTTAATAAATTTTAGCTTGTGGTTAGAGGTTAGAGTGCTTAAAGATAAATTATTTAAAAAAGTAGATAAATTATAAATTTCTGATAATAAAAGTTGCATTATGATGGGCACGGTGGTTCATGCCTGTAATCCTGCCACTTTGGGAGGCCAAGGTGCAGATCACCTAAGATCAGGAGTTCAAGACCAGGCTGACCAACATGGTGAAACTCCATCTGCTAAAAGTACAAAAATCAGCCTGTCGTGGTGGCAGGTTCCTGTAATCCCAGCTACTTAAGAGGCTGAGACAGGAGAATCACCTTAACTCAGGAGGCAGAGATTGCATTGAGCCAAGATCACACCACTGAACTCCAGCCTGGGCAACAGAGTGAGACTCTGTCTCAAAAAAAAAAAAAACGTTGCATTAGGGGGTGAAGAAAACCTTTGAGTTCTCATATGATTGCATCAAGACAAGGCTAGCTACCCTTTTCTGAATCACTGGTTTAATCTTTTTTCATTTATCATTTTTCTTGATTTAATTTTCTAGTCCTGACCCTCAGTTCTTTTCAAATAACAAACTATCTTAATTATGTTTTTTTTTTTTTTTTATTTAGGATGTTGTTTTCCAGTGGCTTACAACAGGAGACATCCACCTAAACCAGATTGATGCTGAGGACCCAGAGGTAGGATGCTACGAATTATTAGAAACTTTTAAATGAAAAATGGGTCCAGCTTCTCAATACCACTTGTAACAACTCAAAAGGAATACATGTCTATCTTACCTCATCTGTAAGACAAATGGAAAGAAGGAATTATTTTGGGGAGATGAAGGTCACATTGTTTAAAATAATAGGGGGGAGGCAAAAAAAATAAGTCAATAAACAAAATATGTAATTAATTAATTCATTGGAGGGGGAAGCATATATATGTATGCATGTATATAAATCAGAATTTAAATTATGGGCACTCTAGCCCAAACTTTCAAAATGGGCTTTCACAAAGAAATACTTTTTTCAGAAATATGAAATTTTCTCAGAAAGAAACAAAGAGTATCAAAATTTATGTTGCAAACTATAATTCTGTTGCCTTTAGATTTAAGAATTCTAAAGGCAGGCCAGGCACGGTGGCTCACGCCTATAATCCCAGCACTTTGGGAGGCCGAGGTGGGTGGATCACGAGGTTAAGAGATCGAGACCATCCTGGTCAACAAGGTGAAACCCCGTCTCTACTAAAAATACAAAAATTAGCTGGGCGTGGTGGTGTGCACCTGTAGTCCCAGCTACTCGGGAGGCTGAGGCAGGAGAATTGCTTGAACCCAGAAGGCGGAGGTTGTGGTGAGCCGAGATCACGCCATTGCACTCCAGTTTGGATAACAATAGCAAAACTCCGTCTCAAAAAAAAAAAGAATTCTAAAGGCATTATGATAATATTCATCAGACAATGGAGAGTGGTGAAACCAACACAGTGAAATCACCACTGGCTCTTGGACCTTATACAGGTTCTTTCTGACCATTTTTCATCCCTAGTTTTCTGTTTTTTTAATTTTATATTTTATTTTATCTTATTTAATTTATTTTTTTATTATTTGAGATGGATTCTCACTCTGTCACCCAAGGCTGGGGCAGTCTTGGCTCACTGCAACTCTGTCTCCCGGGTTCAAGCAATTCTCCTGTCTCAGCCTCCCGAGTACCTGGGATTATAGATGTGCACCACCATGACTGGCTACTTTTTTATTTTTAGTAGAGACGGGGTTTCACTATGTTGGCCAGGCTGGTCTCAAACTCCGGACCTCAAGTGATCCACCTACCTTGGCCTCCCAAAGTGCTGGGATTACAGGCGTGAGCCACCAATCCCAGCCTTCATTCTAGTTTTCTTATCTGTGAAGAGGGGGCACTAATACCTGTTTTCTCTGCCTCACAGGATGATTGTGAGGGCTAAGTTAATAGATGGCAATGTCTCAGGCATTGTGTGTTGTATTCTTCCACATAAGTCATCTTACTTAATCCTCACAACTGCCCTGGGAGGCAGGTGGTCTTATTCCTGTTTTATAGATGGGGAAACTAAAATCTTTCAGGATTGCAGTGTATTCAAATGGCAGGCAAGTTCAGAGCCATGTTCCAAATCCAGGTCTCCTAATTCAAACTCTGCTTACTCTGCGATTGTTTCTCCATTTTTTTGGGGGGGGGCGGGGGCGGAGTTTCACTCTTGTTACCCAGGCTGGAGGGCAATGGCACGATCTCAGCTCACCGCAACCTCCGCCTGCTGGGTTCAGGCAATTCTCCTGCCTCAGCCTCCTGAGTAGCTGGGACTACAGGCACACACCACCATGCCCAGCTAATTTTTTGTATTTTTAGTAGAGTCGGGGTTTCACCATGTTGACCAGGATGGTCTCGATCTCTTGACCTCGTCATCCACCCACCTTACCTCTGCCTCCCAAAGTGCTGGGATTACAGGCGTGAGCCACCGCACCCGGCCTCTCCATTTCTTTTTTTTTTTTTTGAGACAGAGTTTCACTGTTATTACCCAGACCAGAGTGCAATGGCACGATCTTGGTTCACTGCAACCTCTGTCTCCTGGGTTCAAGCAATTCTCCTGCCTCAGCCTCCCAAGTAGCTGGGACTACAGGCGCGCATTACCATGCCCAGCTAATTTTTGTATTTTTAGTAGAGATGGGGTTTCACCTTGTTGACCAGGATGGTCTTGATCTCTTGACCTCGTGATCCACCCGCCTCGGCCTCCCAAAGTGCAGGATTATAGGCGTGAGCCACTGCGCTTGGCTGCCTCTCCATTTCTTAAACTCTGAAATGTCAGGAAAATGATTTCTTGGCCATTGGTCATAGAAGGTAGGTGAGAAGACAGTCAAAGATGGCTGTCCACTGACTCTTTCTTCCCTCACCTAGGGACATGGCTTCTCAGAGACTGATTTGATTTAGGAAACAAGAGAACTGCATGTCTCTCCTTATATGGAAACATTAAGTGTATATGGATATTTTGCTTCATTGTTTAAGTGTAATATTTATTTATTTATTTTTAAGATGGGGTTTCACCATGTTGGTCAGGCTGGTCTTGAACTCCCAACCTCAGGTGATCTGCCCTCCTTGGCCTCCAAAGAGCTTGGATTTCAGGCATGAGCTACCACGCCCAGCCTTAAGTGTAATATATTTAACCACTCTCCTGTTGGTGGGCATTTAGGCTTTCTTGGTCTTTTACTTTTAACCAGTCTGCAGTATGTGTCATAACTGAGGGCTCTCAGCAGTGCTGGAGGGATGCCCTTGGGTAGGGAAGAAGGACTGGGATCTGGTGTACCAATGGAAGAACTGTCTGTACTGGCATCACAGGTGCTCTGTCATGCACCAGGAGTAACCAAGAGGACAAGGCCTGGATGCTAGTGGGTGGGTACATGTGGTGGGAGCTTGTGGACTTTCTTTCATGATTGCCTCTATTTTCTTACTAAAATTGAATATAAGGTCATTGCTAAAATGGTGAAAGGGAAAACCAATTTTTTTTAGATAAAGTCTTAGTCACCCAGGCTGGTGTGCAGTGGTATGATCACAGCTCACTGCAGCCTCGACCTCCTGGGCTCAGGTGATCCTCCCACCTCAACCTCCTAAATAGCTGAGACTACAGGCACATGCCACCATGCTGAGCTAAATTTTTTTGTAATTTTGTAGTGATAGGGTTTTGCCATATTGCTCAGTCTGGTCTCCAACTCCTGTGCTCAAGCAGTCCACTCACCTCAGCCTCCCAAAGTGTTGCAGGTGTGAGCCACTGCACCCAGCTGGGAAAATTATTTTGACAGCTGAACGACAAAAGGGAAGTATTGTCTAGAAGAATGGGAAACTGAGTAGACTTCGGAGATGTAGTTGATTGCTGAGCACTCAAGATCAGAGATCATGAAATCAAAAGACCAGTTGACAGGTTTGTGTGTTTCTCCAGCTGTGTTCAGCCATGAGTACTGGTGTAATTGGAGAGTTGAATTTAGCCACTGCTGGGGTTTAGCCAAGTGAGTTTTGTTCCTCTTTCCACGTAGATTGGCTTATTTAAGATTTAGTGGTCAGTGATCATGAACAGTAAAATTTCTTGGCAAGAAAGTATAAAGGTTACAGGTTTAGACCTGAAACAGTGGAGACGTGACAGAATAAATTCTTGTTCTTACTGTGCTGAAAGGAACTCTCTTGTGGCTTTCAGATTTCTGACTACGTGATGCTGCCCCACACAGCAACCCTATCAAAGCGGAATCGGGAGTGTCTCCAGGAGAGCGATGAGATCCCGAGGGACTTTACCACCCTCTTCAACCTGTCTGTCTTCCAGCTGGATACAACCTCCTTCCACAGTGTCATCGAGTAAGTACCTGTGGGCCTCTGAGCTACATTGTGCTCCATTAGAGTGTTTGGCTTGGAAACATGAGCCTGAGACGGGAGTTAGAATTACAGTAAATGTGGCATGCAAAATATGTTCTCAGATCTATGATGAGGTCAACAAAGAAACTGGGCTAGGCATGAGGGGTTGATGCAGAGGAACTGCCAGAGGTTCTTAGCCCCTGCATGTTCCAGACTCTGGATCAAGCATTTAGGGTGACCAGCTTCTTTCATTTTGCCCCACACTTCTCCTGGTTTTAGCACAGAGAGTCCTAAGTCCCAGGAACACCATCAGTAAATGGAGATGGTTGTCACCCCCATTTCTCCCTGGGTATCTGGTCAACTGGTAATGCTATTATCTAGCACTAAGTATGCAGAAAGAGATGGCCGGGCACGGTGGCTTATGCCTGTAATCCCAGCACTCTGGGAGGCTGAGGCAGGTGGATCCATGGAGTCAGGAGTTTGAGATCAGCCTGGCCAGTATGGTGATGAAACCCTGTCTCTACTAAAAATACAAAAATTAGCCAAGTATGGTGGCACATGCCTATAATCCCAGCTACTCAGGAGGCTGACGAAGGAGAATCGCTTGAACCTAGGGGGCAGAGTTTGCAGTGGGCCAAGATGGCACCACTGCACTCCAGCCTGGGCAACGGAGCAAGACTCTGCCTCAAAAAAAAAAAAAGAGAAAAGCCAAGAGAAAAGATGGAAAGCATCAGCCAGTGTGAGATGAAGAAAATCAAGTGCATGGTATTCTGGGAGCCAAGTAAAGAAAGTCTTACCAAGATGAAAAAGGTAATCAGCTGTGTCAGATACTTCTGATGGATCATAAAAAATGAGGGCTGAGAATTTATCATCAGATTTAACAACATGGAGGTCACTGGTGATATAGACAAAGTCTTTTTTATGACATGGTGGGAGCAAAAGCTTATTTGAAGTTGGTTTAAGAGAGAACTGGTGATAGCAGATATAGATAGCTCTTTTGAGGTATTTTCTACAGAGAGGAACAGAGCATGGGTAAGGGCCAGGGTCAGCAGTGAGCCGGAGGAAGTAAGGTCAAGAAGGTATTTTTTGGGTCAGGTGTGGTGGCTCACGCCTGTAATCCCAGCACTTTGGGAAGCTGAGACAGGCAGATCATGAGGTCAGGAGATCGAGACCGTCCTGGCTAATACAATGAAACCCCAACTCTACTAAAAATACAAAAAAATAGCCGGGCGTGGCTCATGCCTGTAATCCCAGCTACTCAGGAGGCTGAGGCCAGAGGCTCACTTAAACCTGGGAGGCGGAGGTCATCACAGTGAGCCGAGGTTGTGCCACTGCACTCAGGCCTGGGCAATAGATCGAGACTCCGTCTCAAAACAACAACAGAAAGATGTTTTGTTTTGTTTTGAAACAGATTTTCGCTGTTGTTACCCAGACTGGAGTGCAATGGCACAATCTTGGCTCACCGCAACCTCCGCCTTCTGGGTTCAAGCAATTCTCCTGCCTCAGCCTCCCAAGTAGCTGGGACTACAGGCGTGCACCACCATGCCCAGCTAATTTTTGTATTTTTTTAATAGAGGGGGTTTCACCTTGTTGACCAGGATGGTCTTGATCTCTTGACCTCGTTCGTGATCCACCCGCCTCGGCCTCCCAAAGTGCTGGGATTATAGGCATGAGCCACTGCACCCGGCCAAGAAAGATGTTTTTTGGATGGAAGAAGTCACAGGATGTTTTTATACTTCTGGGAATGTTCGAGCAGAGAGAAAAATGGATACTTTAGGAGACAGTGAGGGGAATGGCTGGAGTGAAACATGAGAGTAAGCAAGAGAGAATGGGAAAAAGGGGGTTTGGTAAGTCTTAGCTTTTTTTTGTTTGTGTGTTTTAAGACAGGATCTCACTCTATTGCCCAGGCTGGTCTGGAACTCCTGGGCTCAAGCAGTCATCCCACCCTGGCCTCCCAAAGTATTGGATTATAGATGTGAGCCACCATACCCAGCCTGGTCTTAGCTTTTAGCTTTTATTTTTAATACACACACACACACACACACACACACACACACACACACACATTTTTAGACACAGTCTCACTCTGTCACCCAGGCTGGAGCGCAGTAGCACCATCTCAGCTCACGGCAACCTCCGCCTCTTGGGTTCAAGTAATCCTCCCGCCTCAAACTCCTTAGTAGCTGGGACTATAGGCATGCACCACCACACCCATCTAATAGTTGTATTTTTAGTATAGATGGGGTTTCACCATGTTGGCCAGGCTGGTCTCGCACTCCTGACTTCAAGTGATCCACCCACCTCAGCCTCCCAAAGTGCTGAGATTACAGATGAGAGCCAACACACCCAGCCCAGTCTTAGCTTTTAGACAGGAGCATGGATCCTTCAGTAACAGATGGGAAACATGGATGCAGACTCTGGTGGATGAGAAAAGGTGTTGATTGAAAATTGTGGAAATTCTTAGGGCTTCAGTCTTTCTGATAAAATAGGAAACAAGATAATCAGCTAAAAATTTCCAAAGAGATAGTGGAGATTTAGGAGAGAATGCATAACTTGAATGTTTGAGAGAATGAAGGCGAAGGAGAAGCCACAATAGAAAAATAGCATAGGGGTAAGATGAGCTGTTAGCTCTGTAAGCTCACTCCTACCACTGATCCTCTGCTGGAGCTGCTCTGAGTGGCCTGCTGTTCTGTGAAAATTCCTGGCACCCTTCAGCCTGTTCTTGCTCTTGCCTCTGCCAGGGACATTTTAGAAGATAACTGCATGACTTCCTCCCTCACTCAGGGCTCCTCTGACAAGCCGCACTCCCCGCCGCTTCCCTGTCTCTATCTTTCTCCTCTGATTTATTGTCTTCTTAATACTTATCAGTTCCTGACATCTTACTAGTTTTTTTGTTTAGTATGTGCCTCTCCTCCCCATATAATGTTCCATGATGGCCTGCCTTGGCATCTTTCACTGTTGCTATACTCCTACTGTGTAGAACTGCCTGGTATGTAGTGGACATTCAGGAATTATTTGTTGAGTGAGCACACAGAAGTGAGTATCATACAAATCTGTTTACTTGCCAGAAACAGACTTCAAATTTGACTGCTGTCTCTTGATGGTGAAAACAAATAAGAAAACACAGGAGTTACAAGATTCACTGTTTCTGTCAGGCAGAAGCAAAAAACTTATTTAGAAGAAACATGATAGGAAACTTGAAAGAAATGCTTCCTTTCAGTTCTCAATGAGTAATAATATATGATTCAGTAGAGAAGATTCCTGAAAAGATCATTACATTATTTATAATAACACATTTTATCTATTTTTCACATTTTACTTTGGACTTTGTTATATTCATAGCTTTATCTTTTTTTAATTTAACATTTTTAATTTTCTTTCTACAGTCTAGCATGTGAGCTTTATCTTTTTTTTTTTTTGGAGATGGGGCTCGCTTTGTCATTCAGGCTGGAATGCAGTGGTGCAATCTCAGCTCATTGCAACCTTCGCCTCCCAGGTTCAAGTGATTCTCCTGCCTTAGTCTCCCAGGTAGCTGGGACTACAGATGTGCGCCACCACACCCAGCTAATTTTTTTTTTTTTTTTTTTAAGTAGATACAGGGTTTCACTATGTTGGCCAGGATGGTCTCCATCTCTTGACCTCATGATCCGCGTGCCTTGGCCTCCCAAAGTGCTGGAATTACAGGCATGAGCCACCGCGCTCAGCTGAAAAAGTTTTTTTAAATTATGAATCATGGTGGTGCACGCTTCCTTGTAGTCCTGGCTACATTTTTTTTTTTAATTATGAGTCATGGTGGTGCATGCTGCCTTGTAGTCCTGGCTACTCAGGAGGCTGAGGTGGGATGACTGCTTGAGCCCAGCAATTCAAGATTAAACTGGGCTATGATTGTACCACTGCACTCCAGCCTGGGTAACAGAGTGAAAATTTATCTAAAAAAAAAAAAAAAGTTTATATTGTGGTTTTTGTGAATAAATGAAAAAAATAAAAAAAATTAAAAAATAAAGCACATAATACTTTAAACATATTGATGCATATGAGTGAGATGGGAAGAATAAATTCAAATTTCAAAGTTGGAATTAATATAGGTATTTTAAATTTTTTTTATACGTATTATTATTACTATTGTTGGAAGGGGATATCTCAACCCTTTACACTAAATCAAAGAAAAAAAGTCAAAATTTCAAGCAGTCACCAAAGAAAGTGAAACACTACATATCTACATGGGTATCTGAAACAGACAGAAACTAGACTAACTACCAGGAAATTAAATTCCATTAAAATATTTCATTGAGGCCAAATGCAGTGGCTTACACCTGTAATCCCAGCACTTTGAGAGGCCGAGGCAGGAAGATCACAAGGTCAAGCGATCGAGACCGACCTGGCTAACACAGTGAAACCCATCTCTACTAAAAATACGAAAAATTAGCTGGGCATGGTGGTATGTGCCTGTAGTCCCAACTACTTGAGAGGCTGAGGCAGGAGAATTGCTTGAACCCAGGAGATGGAGGTTGCAGTGAGCTGAGATCGCACCACTTCAGCCTGGGGGACAGAGAGACTCCATCTCAAAAAAAAAAAGATACTTCATTGAAATACATTAACATTTTCTGATCTAATATGAAAACAAATTTAACTATGTAATCTGTATGTTAGAATGCATATTCTAGCCGGGCGCAGTGGCTCAAGCCTGTAATCCCAGCACTTTGGAAGGCCGAGGCGGGTGGATCACGAGGTCGGCAGATCGAGACCATCCTGGTCAACATGGTGAAACCCCGTCTCTACTAAAAATACAAAAAATTAGCTGGGCATGGTGGCATGTGCCTGTAATCCCAGCTACTCAGGAGGCTGAGGCAGGAAAATTGCCTGAACCCAGGAGGCGGAGGGTGCGGTGAGCCGAGATCGTGCCATTGCACTCCAGCCTGGGTAACAAGAGCGAAACTCCATCTCAAAAAAAAAAAAAAAGAATGCATATTCTATTTAGAGAGTTAAGTAACTGATAATTTATGAGATTGTTTTAACTTCTTTTTTTTTTTGTTTTGTTTTGTTTTGTTTTTTGAGACGGAGTTTGGTTTTGTTATCCAGGCTGGAGTGCAATGGCGCGATCTCGGCTCACCGCAACCTCCGCCTCCTGGGTTCAGGCAATTCTCCTGCCTCAGCCTCCTGAGTAGCTGGGATTACAGGGATACGCCACCATGCCCAGCTAATTTTTTGTATCTTTAGTAGAGACGGGGTTTCACCATGTTGACCAGGATGGTCTCGATCTCTTTACCTCGTGATCCACCCGCCTCGGCCTCCCAAAGTGCTGGGATTACAGGCTTGAGCCACCGCGCCCGGCCTTGTTTTAACTTCTAAGTTTGGGGTACAAGTACAGGTTTGTTACATAGGTAAACTTGTGTCATGGGGTGGTGACACAGATTATTTCATCACCTGTGTGTGTTCTCTATGTGTCTGTGTGTTCTCATCATTTAGCTCCCACTTATAAGGATATATGGTATTTGGTTTTCTGTTAGTTTGCTAAGGATAATTGCCTCTAGCTCCATCCATGTCCCTGGCAAAGAACATAATCTCATTTTTTTTTTGAGACAGCATTTTTGCTTTGTTGCCCAGGCTGGAGTGCAATGGAGTGATCTCGGCTCACTGAGACCTCTGTCTCCTGGGTTCAAGGGATTCTCTTGCCTCAGCCTCCCCAGTAGCTGGGATTACAGGCACCCGCCACCATGCCCAGCCAATTTTTGTATTTTTAGTAGGGATGAGGTTTTACCATGTTGACCAGGCTGCTCTAGAACTCTTGACCACAGGTGAACACCCATCTCAGCCTCCCAAAGTGCTAGGATTACAGGCAAGAGCCACCATGCCTGGCCAATGTCATTCTTTTTTTTTTTTTTGAGATGTAATCTCATACTGTCACCCAGGCTGTACTGCAGTGGTGAGATCCTGGCTCACTGCAATCTCTGCCTTCTGGGTTCAAGCAATTCTCCCTCAGCCTCCTGAGTAGCTGGGACTACAGGCGTGTGTCACGCCCAGCTAATGTTTTTGTATTTTTAGTAGAGACAGGGTTTCAACATGTTGGCCAGGATAGTTTCTAACTCCTGACCTCATGATCCACCCACCTCGGCCTCCCAAAGTGCTGGGATTACAGACATGAGCCACCGCGCCTGGCCCCCAATTTCATTCTTTTTTATGACTGCATAGTACTCCATGGTGTATATGTACCACATTTTCTTTATTCAGTCTATCATTGATGGGCATTTCGATTGATTCCATGTCTTTGCTATTGTGCATCGTGCTGCAGTGAACATATGTGTGCATATGTCTTTATAACAGAATGATTTATATTCCTTTGGGTATATACCCAGTAATGGGATGCTGGGTCCAGTGGTATTTCTAAAAGGAGAACAACACAGTATGGTCAGTTAGACATGCTGTGCTATGGTGTCTTGTTGATCCTTGCTTTTTTGTTTGATTATGAACACAGGGCTTACGAGCAGCTAAATGTGAAACATGAACCGCTCCAGCTCATCCAGCCTCAGTTTGAGACGCCACTGCCAACCCTTCAGGCTGCGGTGAGTAGGTGTGCCTGGGGGATCCCACTGCAGAGCCCCACTGTTGCTCTTATCTTGTCAGCAGGCCCTCACTGTAGACCCTTCTATGTGACATTTGTGGCATTCCTCGTGAAGTCATAGTGCTCTGCCTCTAAACATGCATGGACACCAAATTTGTTAGTCTTCTATAGGGACTTCCATGTGGTGTGCTTCCAAATTGAGGAATCAGTGGTGTAGAGCCTTCTGTCTGTTAAACATTTCCTATTCCCATCTTATGGGGTTGGAGGGCATATATGAGATTTCTTGGATAATAAGGAAGAAAACTTTGTATACTGCCTTTCCAGGTGTAAGTCCCTGATTCATAGAATAATTCTCGCAGCCCAGGGGATAGTTATGGTTGGTTATATATGTAAACAGGTTATTTTTAAACATTTCAGTCCAACATTCACTCAACTTGCCTTTAAAATTGCCCTGCCGGGGCCGGGTGCGGTGGCTCAAGCCTGTAATCCCAGCACTTTGGGAGGCCGAGGCGGGTGGATCACGAGGTAAAGAGATCGAGACCATCCTGGTCAACATGGTGAAACCCCGTCTCTACTAAAAATACAAAAAATTAGCTGGGCATGGTGGTGCGTGCCTGTAATCCCAGTTACTCGGGAGGCTGAGGCAGGAGAGTTGCCTGAACCCAGGAGGCGGAGGTTGCGGTGAGCCGAGATCGCGCCATTGCACTCCAGCCTGGGTAACAAGAGCGAAACTCCGTCTCAAAAAAATAAAAAATAAAAATAAATAAATAAAATTGCCCTGCCTCACCGCATTCTGAAATGTTGAGTCAGTTGGCTTGATCTTCCTTGGTAGCTTGAAATTGGCCATACTGGGAAGATTTACATTACAAAAAAAATGGCAAATGCTACAAAGCAGGGCTTCAATTTTGTTTTGAAAGTCAGTAGTTAAACATTTACCTGCATACCATTGGTTCATACCTGCAAAATCTGACTCCCAAGTTCAATACTTTCTACACTAATCTGCATCTGCTTCTCCAAATAACTTCCATCCCTAAATACTTAGGATTAAATGAAAAACAAATTGTACAATCAAATGTTGAACACAAACCTAAGTCTCAAGCTTTGTGTCATTGTGCTAAGTTAATTGGCATTGGTATGTCAGCTTGGTCAGTTTAGTGGTGATTAGAACTGGTTCCACTTGGTTGTTTACACAGGGCTGGTAATCTTTCTTGATAGGGGTCTGATGGGTGAGGGTAGATGAGGTGATGGGATTTTGGGTGTTTCATCCTCAGGGAAGAACTGAGTTAGTTTTCTGTAGTGATTTCCACATGGTGTGGTTCCCAGCTGAGGAATTAAGGGTGTGGACTTCCTTATTCTCCTTGTGTCTCATCATTGTTAGTTATGACTTTGGACAAGCTCTTTCTTAAGAGACTTTATGTCCTTTGCATTATCCCGCTCATTTCTGAATGACGACTTTATTTCCTTTTAGGTTTTTCCTCCCAGTTTCCGGGAGTTACCACCACTTCCTCTGGAGCTATTTGACTTAGATGAAACGTTCTCCTCTGAGAAGGCACGGCTTGCTCAGATTACCAATAAGTGTAAGTTTGGCCAACTTTTAAACTTTGTTTTCTCTTATGAATTTTATTTATTTATTTATTTATTGAGACGGAGTTTTGCTGTTGTTACCCAGACTGGAGTGGAATGGCGCGATCTCGGCTCACCACAACCTCTGCCTCCTGGGTTCAAGCAATTCCCCTGCCTCAGCCTCCTGAGTAGCTGGGACTACAGGCGCGCACCACCATGCCCACCTAATTTTTGTATTTTTAGTAGGGATGGGACTTCACCTTGTTGACCAGGATGGTCTCGATCTCTTGACCTCATGACCCACCCACCTCGGCCTCCCAAAGTGCTGGGATTATAGGCGTGAGCCACCGTGCCCGGCCATGAATTTTATTTGATCGTGAATTTCTGACAGTTGCTATGAGAGAAAGCTTAGAGTTTGTTTAGGGAAAACAAAATATGAATAGGAGTATAAACTTAAAATTCTTATTTATGTCATGTAAATAATGTTGGTTGTTCTTCTCAAGGCCATTTAGCTCAGCGAATTAGAACATGGTGCCAAGTAGAAAGCCAGAGGTCTCAGCTTTGATCCCTGTAAGTTCTTAGTTCTGACCTATTGAGAGACCATAGAATTAATGTTGACTGGCTGCCACTTAGCAAAACTCAGTCAGTGGTCATAGGAGCACCTAAATAAGGAAATTGAATCAGGGCCCAAAGAATCATAGAGATTTCAAATTGGACAGGATCTGAGAGAGAGCCAAGTGTGCCCACCTTAACATGTGGATGAAGAAATGAGGCCCCAGGACTGGGCACGGTGGCTCACGCCAGTAATCCCAGCGTTTTAGGAGGCCGAGACGGGCAGATCGCTTGAGGTGGGGAGTTTCAGACCAGCCTGCCCAACATGGAGAAACCCTGTCTCCACTAAAAATACAAAGTTAGCTGGGCGTGGTGCATTCCTGTAATCCTAGCTACTTGGGAGGCTGAGGCAGAAGAATTGCTTGAACCCAGGAGTGGGAGGTTGCCGTGAGCTGAGATCACACCATTGCACTCCAGCCTGGGCAACAAGAGCAACACTCCATCTTAAAAAAAAGAAAAAATACATACTGCATGTACAAGAGGATACCAGCTATGTTGGCAACATCTGAATATGCCCAAAGCCCAGAAAGAAGTAAGCAAAATGGAAATTGTTCAGTGCAAACAAAGACCTTTACTACATCTGTATTTTGTGCCAGGCATGGCAGGCGCTGGGCAGTCAAAAATAAGCAAGACATAGTAATTTGTTCAGGAGGAATCACAGAATGGTGAAGAAGCAGAAGCTCTGACTTGGCATTTCTGTTTCTAGCAACTGTCCTACAGAAATACTTGTAGAAATGCAAAACAAAGATGAAACAGCTCTGTAGATGTTAATTGTAGCATTCAAAAAATTGAGAACAGCCTAATGGTTTATCCGTCAGTAGGGATATTGGTTAAAAAGAGTTTGAAATAAGCCTGGGTCACATAGAGAGACCTCGTCTCTAAAGAAAAAAAAAAAATTGCGGCCGGGTGTGGTGGCTCACGCCTGTAATCCCAGCATTTTCGGAGGCTGAGGCGGGTGGATCACAAGATCAAGAGATCAAGACCATCCTGGTCAACATGGTGAAACCCTGTCTCTATTAAGGCTGAGGCGGAGGCGGGAGGATCACTTGGGCCCAAGAGTTGGAGGCTGGAATGAGGTATGATACACCATTGCACTCTAGCCTGGGTGACAGAGGGATACCCTGTTTCTGAAAAATAAATAAATAGAAACAAAGGAGAATATTATATATCTGTTAAAAAAAAAATGTAGGCTGGGTGCAATGGCTCTCCCACCTATAATCCCAGCACTTTAGGAGGCAGAGGCAAGAGGATCACTTGAGACCAGCCTGGGCAACACAGTGAGACCTCTTCGTTATAGAAAAATAAACAAAATTAGCTAGACATGGTGGCTTACTCCTGTAGTACCAGCTACTTAGGAGGCCTAGGTGAGAGGATTGCTTGAGCCTACGAAGTCAAGGCTGCGGTGAGCTAAGATTGCACTACTGCACTCCAGCCTGGCAGACAGAGTGAGACCCTGTCTCAAAAAAGAAAAGAAAAAAAATGTAGGGCATAAACTTTGACATGGAATGTCCATAATACATCATTAAATGATGAAGGCAACTTACCAAACTATTATAGTTTGATCCCATTTTTGCGAAAACTTGCATTTACACACAGAATTACACATAGCAGTAATTTTAGGTAGTTGGTAGCAATAGAACTAGAATGAAAGATTGTTACAGCTGTGGGTTTGAATGTCTTAGTAAAAAACATACATTTCGGGCCAGGCGCGGTGGCTCATGCCTGTAATCCAAGCACTTTTGGGAGGCCAAGGCAGGTGGATCACGAGGTCAAGAAATCGAGACCATCCTGGTCAACATGGTGAAACCCCATCTCTACTAAAAATACAAAAAAATTAGCTGGGCATGGTGGCGTATCCCTGTAATCCCAGCTACTCAGGAGGCTGAGGCAGGAGAATTGCCTGAACCCAGGAGGCGGAGGTTGCGGTGAGCCGAGATTGCACCATTGCACTCCAGCCTGGGTAACAAGAGCGAAACTCCGTCTTTAAAAAAAAAAAAAAAGCCGGGCACGGTGGCTCAAGCCTGTAATCCCAGCACTTTGGGAGACCGAGGCGGGTGGATCATGAGGTCAGGATTCAAGACTAGCCTGACCAACATGGTGAAACCCCATCTCTACTAAAAATACAAAAATTAGCCAGGCATGGTGGTGGGCACCTATAATCCCAGCTACGCAGGAGGCTGAGGCGGGAGAATTGTTTGAACCCGGGAGGCAGAGGTTGCAGTAAGCCAAGGTTGCACCACTGCACTCCAGCCTGGGTGACAGAGTGAGACTAGGTTGCAGTGAGCCAAGATTGTACCACTGCACTCCAGCCTGGGTAACAGAGTGAGACTCTGTCTCAAAAAAAAAAGAAAGAAAGCCATGCATTTCTATCATAACTTTTTAAATGCAAATCAGAGGGAGAATCAATAAATTACAGCCTGGCTTGGTACTGGCTCACATCTATAATCCCAGCATTTTGGGAGGCCAAAGCTGGCAGATTGCTGGAGCTTGTGAGTTCAAGACCAGCCTGGGCGACATGGTGAAACCCCATCTCAAATACAAAAAATCAGCCAAGCGTGGAGGTGCGCACCTGTAGTCCCAGCTACTTGGGAGGCTAAGGTGGGAGGATGGTTTGAGCCTGGGTAGCAAAGGTTGCAGTGAGCTGAAATCATGCCACTGCACTCCAGTCTGGGTAATAGAGCCAAACCTTGTCTCGAAAAAAAAAAAGAAAGAGGCCAGGCATGGTGGCTCACGCCTGTAATACCAGCACATTGGGAGGCCGAGTTGGGCAGATCATGAGGTCAAGAGATCGAGACCATCCTGGCCAACATGGTGAAACCCCATCTCTATTAAAAGTACAAAAAAGGCCAGGCATGGTGGCTCAAGCCTGTAATCCCAGCACTTTGGTAGGCTAAGGCAGGTGGATCACGAGGTCAAGAGATTGAGACCATCCTGGTCAACATGGTGAAACTCCGTCTCTACTAAAAATACAAAGATTAGCTGGGCATGGTGGCGTGAGCCTGTAGTCCCAGCTCCTCAGGAGGCTGAGGCAGGAGAACTGCTTGAACCCAGGAGGCGGAGGTTGTGATGAACTGAGATTGCGCCACTGCTCTCCAGCCTAGGTAACGAGCAAAATTCCGTCCTCCCCAAAAAAAGAGTGAAACTCTGTCTCAAAAAAAAAAAAGGAAGAAAGAAATTATAGTGTGAGAAGGGCAGTAATGGCTGTCCATCCTATACGCAGGGCTCCAGAGGATGGCTTCACAGAGCTATGTTGTTGGTAGAATTCTAGGTTATTTTTTTTTCTTTAATTTTCTTTCTATAATATTGTTGGGGTTTTTTTGTTTTGTTTTGTTTTGAGACAGAGTCTTGCTCTCTCGCCCAAGCTGGATTACAGTGGCATGATCTCAGCTCATTGTAACCCCCACCTTCTGGGGTCAAGCAATTCTCCTACCTCAGCCTCACGAGTAGTTGGGATTACAGGTGTGCACCACCATGCCTGGCTAATTTTTTTGTATTTTTAGTATAGATGGTGTTTCATCATGCTGGCAGGCTAGTCTCAAACTCCTCACCTCGTGAGCCATGGCGCCTGGCCATACAATACTGTTTTAGTAAATGGTATTTTTAATTACCTATATGCTTTTCTCATACTGATCTTTGTTGCATTCAGGGAATGATAATTTTATTTCCTACTATTGCACCTGTTCTTTATAATGTAGGAATACTAGATCTGAGGAATAGGAAAGCCAGTACCAGTCCAGTGTTATTCTGATTAGGAGTGTCAGACTTCTGTCCTAATTTATAAAAGCAGCACATTGGAGAGCTCTAGACTTTTCCAGTGTTGAAACCCTATAGTCACATTATTTTAGGAAAAGGTGAGTGATCTTAGGAAATCTGGAAACATGGCCAGGCGTGGTGGCTCATGCCTGTAATCCTAGTAGTTTGGGAGGCCGAGGTGGGTGGATCACCAGAGGTCAGGAGTTCAAGACCAGCCTGGCCAACATGGTGAAGCCCCATCTTTTTTTTAAAAAAAAGGAAATGTGGAAACATAATAGGACATATCTGAAATACACTAAGTCTGTACTTTGGGAAGGGCAGAAGTTAAGAGTTAATCTAACTACTACCCCAACTGTTTTAGGTACCGAAGAAGACTTGGAATTCTATGTCAGGAAGTGTGGTGACATTCTTGGAGTAACCAGTAAACTCCCAAAGGACCAACAAGATGCCAAACATATCCTTGAGCACATCTTCTTCCAAGTAGTGGAGTTCAAGAAATTGAACCAGGTACAGAGCTTAGAAGGCACAGTGTAGTGGGAGCCCCTCCAGTACTGGTATCATCCATGAACTGTGCTTGTCATGTTTTATTATGTTGATTCAGCCCACAAGTATTTATTGTCTATTAAGTGAACAAAACAGACAATAATCCCTGTACTTACGGAACCTATATACTAGCTGGAAGATATAGACAATAAGCAATAAACATAAGTGAGTAACATAGGATGCTAGAAAATGGTAACTGCAGACCAAGTGTGGTGGCCCACTTCTGTAATCCCAGAACTTTGGGAGGCCAAGGCAGGTGGATCACCTGAGGTCGGGAGTTCGAGACCAGCCTGACCAACATGGAGAAACCCCTTCTAAACTAAAAATACAAATTAGCCCAGCGTGGTGGCACATGCCTGTAAGCTACTCCGAAGGCTGAGGCAAGATAATCACTTGAACCCAGGAGGGAGAGGTTGCAGTGAGCCAAGATTGTACCATTGCATTTCAGCCTGGGCAACAGAATGAGACTCCATCTCAGCCGGGCATGGTGGCTAATGCCTGTAATCCCAGCATTTTGGGAGGCCGAGGCGGGCAGATCATGAGGTCAGGAGTTAGAGACCAGTTTGGCCAGCATTGTAAAACCCGGTCTCTACTTAAAATACAAAAAATTGGCTGGGCATGTTGGCGTGTGTCTGTAATCCCAGCTACTTGGGAGGCTGGGGCAAAGAATTGCTTGAATCTGGAAGGTGGAGGTTTCAGTGAGCCGAGATCCCACCACTCTAGCGTGGGCAACAGAGCGAGACTCCATCTCAAAAAAAAAAACAAAATGGCAGGCACGGTGGCTCACACCTGTAATCCCAGCACTTTGGGAGGCCAAGGCGGGTGGATCACCCGAGGTTGGGAGTTCAAGACCAGCCAGACCAACATGGAGAAACCCCATCTCTACTAAAAATACAAAATTAGCTGTGTATGGTGGTCCATGCCTGTAATCCCAGCTACTCGGGAGGCTGAGGCAAGGGAATCCCTTGAACCCAGAAGACGGAGGTTGCAGTGAGCCGAGATCGCACCATTGCACTTCGCCTGGGCAACAAGAACAAAACTCGATCTCAAAAAAAAACAAAAATTAGCCAGGTGTGGTGCTGTGCACCTGTGGTTCCAGCTACTTGGGATGCTGAGGTGGGAGGTTGCAGCCCTACAAGAAATGCAAAATTTAGCCAGGGGTAGAGGCCAGGTGTGTGGCTGATGCCCTTAATCCCAGCACTTTTGGAGGCCAAGGTGGATGGATCGCTTGAGGTGAGGAGTTCAAAACCGTCCTGGCCAATGTGGCGAAACCCCATCTCTACTAAAAATACAAAAATTGGCTGGGTGCGGTGGCTCACATCTGTAATCCCAGCACTCTGGGACACTGAGGTGGGCGGATCACCCGAGGTTGGGAGTTTGAGACCAGCCTGACCAACATGGAGAAACCCATTGCTACTAAAAATACAAAATTAGCTGGGTGTGATGGCACATACCTGTAATCCCAGCTACTTGGGAGGCTGAGGTAAGAGAATTGTTTGAACCCAGGAGGCGGAGGTTGCGGTGAGCTAAGATTGTGCCATTGCACTCCAGCTTTGGCAACAAAAGTGAAACTCCGACACACAAAAAAACAAAAAAACAAAAATTACCCAGATATGGTGGTGCAGGCCTACAATCCCAACTTCTCGGGAGGCTGAGACAGGAGAATAGCTTGAACCCCAGAGGCAGAGGTTGCAGTGAGCTAGGATTGCACCACTGCACTCCAGCCTGGGTGACAGAGTGAGACTCTGTCTCAAAAAAAAAAAAAAGAAAAAAGAAAAAAAATTACCTAGGCATGGTCAGACGTAGTAGCGCATGCCTGTAGTCCCAGCTGCTTGGGAGGTAGAAGTTGCAGTGAGCCAAGGTCACAGCGCTGCACTCTAGCCTGGGTGACAGAACAAGACTGTCTCAAAAAAAAAAAAAAAATTATAAGATTTATTTATTTTTGGCCGGGCGCGGTGGCTCATGCCTATAATCCCAGCACTTTGGGAGGCCAAGGCAGGTGGATCACGAGGTCAAGAGATCGAGACCATCCTGGTCAACAAGGTGAAACCCCGGCCCTACTAAAAATTAGCTGGGCATGGTGGCGTGCGCCTGTAGTCCCAGCTACTCGGGAGGCTGAGGCAGGAGAATTGCTTGAACCCAGGAGGCGGAGGTTGCGGTGAGCCGAGATCATGCCATTGCACTCCAGTCTGGGTAACAACAGCAAAACTCCGTCTCAAAAAAAAAAAAAGATTTATTTATTTTGACATCCAATTTTGGGGGGGGGGGGGATTTATTTATTTATTTATTGCTCATCAGCTATCGTTAGTATATTTTATGTATGACTCAAGATAATTCTTCCAGTGTAGCCCAGGGAAGCCAAAAGGTCAGACACTCCTGATTTAGAAGCTGAGCATGGGCAACAAAAGTGAAAGCCCATCTCTACAAAACCGGAAAAATTAGCTTGGCATAGTGGCACACACCTGTAGTCCCAGGTATTTGGCAGACTGAAGCGGGAGGATCACTGAGGAGCTGTAATCATGCCACTGCACTCCATCCTGGGTGACACAGACCCTATCTTTTTAAAAAAAAAAAGATATATAGTGTTTGATTTTTATTTTCCTTCTTTATTAAAATTTCTATAGTGACTGTGTCACTTTTGCTGCAAAAAAAAGTTTTGGTTTTTTGTTTTGAGACAGAATTTCTCTCGTCACTCAGGCTGGAGTGCAGTGGCGCAATCTTGGCTCACTGCAACTTCCACCTCCCAGGTTCAAGCAATTCTCCTGTCTCAGCCTCATGAGTAGCTGGGATTACACATGCCCATGACCACGCCTGGCTTTTTTTTAATTTTTAGTAGAGACAGAGTTTCACCATGTTGGCCAGGCTGGTCCTGAACTCCTGACCTCAGGTAATCCACCCGCCAGAGTGTTGGGATTACAGGCGTGAACCATCACACCCCGCTGAGTATTTTGTTTGTTTTTTTTTTTTGAGACAGAGTTTCACTCTTGTTACCCAGGCTGGAGTGCAATGGCGCGATCTCGGCTCACCGCAACCTCCGCCTCCTGGGTTCAGGCAATTCTCCAGCCTCAGCCTCCTGAGTAGCTGGGATTACAGGCACACGCCACCATGCCCAGCTAATTTTTTGTATCTTTAGTAGAGACGGGGTTTCACCATGTTGACCAGGATGGTCTCGATATCTTGACCTTGGGATCCACCCGCCTCGGCCTCCCAAAGTGCTGGGATTACAGGCTTGAGCCACCGCGCCCGGCCGAGTATTTTGTTTTTTAATGTAAGCAGGCAAAATATAAGCGTAGGATTTTAGACGCTGAGTGGAAAGACCAGTTAGGTTCTCAGCCTCTCCTAGAAGGAAGCTGGCTCTGCCAGATTCTCATTTGGCAGTGTTTTACTCTCCACCTCTAGCATAGTGGTAGAGGCTGGAGCCATAGCAGTGAACAAAATGAGTGCAGTCTTTGCTAACCCTCTCAGAGCTCTGTGTAATGGGAGACAGGAGTGTATGGGCAATTATCATACTCTAAGTGCCATCCACGAAGGGAACCCAGAGATGAGGGTATTAATGTGGCTGCTTAGTGCAGAGAATGATGGGATGAGAGGTTGGGTAGGTTCCCAGTAATACTTACCCTGGTGGCGTGGTTGGACAGGCACCCAAGGCCAATGTACTTTGCACTAGTGCTTTCAACTCTGTTACTCATCATGATGGGTGGTGTACAGTGGTCACAAGCTCTGCCCTCGTAGTGAAAATTTGATCTTTGGGTTGGATTCAGCCCTAAAGCTAGATATTACCTATGTGTCCTAATTAATGAAGATTCAGAATCTCTAAAGTCCAAAGCACTGAAGAGTTTACATTTCAGGCTTTGTACTGAAATACTGAAATTCTGTGTCTTATTCTCTTATCCAGGAACATAACATTGATACAAGTGAAACAGCATTCCAGAGCAATTTCTGAAGACCTCCATGCCTCTTGAAGCTTTTTCTGCCTCTTGATTCTCTTTGTAAACTATTTTCAAATTGTTCTTCAACTCCTTATCAAAATTGTTTATATACTCTTTCCTCAATGAGCTGTGGAAGGCCTATCCATCTCTGTAATACACAGATAGGTATAAGATTTTTCACAAAATCCTTATGTAAGATAGATTCCATTTTTTAAAATTAAATATATGGTTGCATCTGTCTTTTTATACCCTATGAAACAGTCTTTCATTGAATTTTTTTTTCAACTCCAGTTCTGGATTTGAGTCTTTTATCAAAGACATAAATAACTCTCAAGCTTGCTGTAGATATGGTACAGCTTTCTAGACTGGTTCAAAAGGATACAAAAGTGGCCAGGAGTGGCAGCTCATGCCTGTAATCCCAGCACTTTGGGAGGCCAAGGCAGGCGGATCACTTGAGGTGGGGAGTTTGAGACCAGCCTGGCCAACATGGTGAAACCCCATCTCTACTAAAAATACAAAAATTGGCTGGGCACGGTGGCTCACGCCTATAATTCCAGCACTTTGGGAGGCCAAGGCGGGTAGATCATGAGGTCAAGAGATTGAGACCATCCTGGTCAACAAGGTGAAACCCTGTCTTTACTAAAAATACAAAAATTAGCTGGGCATGGTGGTGCACGCCTGTAGTCCCAGATACTCGGGAAGCTGAGGCAGGAGAATTGCTTGAACCCAGAAGGTGGAGGTTGCAGTGAGCCAAGATCCTGCCATTGCACTCCAGTCTGGGTAACAACAGTGAAACTCCGTCTCAAAAAAAAATACAAAAAATTAGCCAGGCATAGTGGCACACACCTGTAGTCCCAACTACTTGGGAGGCTGAGGCAGGAGAATCACTTGACCCCGGGAGGCAGAGGCTGCAGTGAGCTGAGTGCACCACTACACTTCAGCCTGGGTGACAGTGAGACTCACTTTTTTTAAAAACAAAAAGGAGCCAGGCGCAGTGGCTCACACCTGTAATCACAGCACTTTGGGAGGCCGAGGCGGGTGGATCACGAGGTCAAGAGATCGAAGACCATCCTAGTCAACATGGTGAAACCCCGTCTCTACTAAAAATACAAAAAAAATAAGCTAGGCATGTTGGTGCTTGCCTGTAATCCCAGCTACTCAGGAGGCCGAGGCAGGAGAATTGCCTGAACCCAGGAGGTGGAGGTTGCAGTGAGCTGAGATCGCGCCATTGCACTCCAGCCTGGGTAACAAGAGCGAAACTCCGTCTTAAAAAAAAAAAAAAAAAGGGCCGGGCGCGGTGGCTCAAGCCTGTAATCCCAGCACTTTGGGAGGCCGAGGCGGGTGGATCACTTGAGGCCAGGAGTTAGAGACCAGCCTGGCGAACATGAAACCCTCTCCCTACAAAAAATTCAAGAATTAGACAAGTATAGAGGCCAGGTGCAGTGGTCATGCCCATAATCCCAGCACTTTGGGAGGCCGAGGTGGATGGATCACTTGAGTTCAGGAGTTCAAGACCAGCCTGGCCAACTTGGCGAAACCCTGTCTCTACTAAAAATACAAAAATTACTCAGGTGTGGTGGTGTGGGCCTATAATCCCAGCTTCTTCGGAGGCTGCGGCTGGAGAATTGCTTGAACCCCAGAGGCAGAGGTTGCAGTGAGCTGAGATTGCACACTGCACTCCAGCCTGGGCAACAGAGCAAGACGCTGTCTCAAAAAAAAAAAAATTAGCTAGGCATGGTCAAGGGTAGTGGCACATGCCTGTAGTCCCAGCTACTCAGGAGGCTGATGTGGGAAAATCATTGAATCTGGGAGGTGGAAGTTGCACTGAGCCAAGATCACATCCCTGCAATCCAGCGTGGGTGACAGAGAAAGACTCTGTCTCAAAAATAAAAGAGATTTATTTATTTGTTTATAGCCCATCAGCTATCAGTGTATTTTATGTGTGACCCAAGACAATTCTTCCAATGTTGCCCAGGGAAGCCAAAAGATTGGACACTCCTGATAGAAGCTGAGCATGGGCAACAAAATTGAGAGCCCATCTCTACAAAACCAGAAAAATAAGCTGGGCATAGTGGCACACACTTGTAATACCACGTATTTGTGATACTGAGGTGGGAGGATCACTTGAGCCCAGGAGTTCAAAGCTGCAGTGAGCTATGATCATACTACCGCACTCCAGAATGGGCCACCCACACTTCTTCCCTCTCCTCTCGCTTCCTGAAGCACTCAGTTCTGTCATCATCTTGGGTTATAATGCACCACCATGCCCAGCTAATTTTTTTGTACTTTTAGTAGAGATGGGGTTTCACCATGTTGACCAGGATGGTCTCTATCTCTTGACCTCGTGATCCACCCACGTTGGCCTCCCAAAGTGCTGGGATTATAGGCGTGAGCCACCGCGCCCAGCCTCAGTTGAGATGATAAAAGGATGAGGTGCTTGATGGCTGGGGCCAGGAGTCATTTGGAAGTAACATCATTCATGTTTGGCAAGTTGATCTATACCAAGATGCTGGTAGACAGAGATCTTTGGCCAGAACATTTGTACATGGCCTATCCATGTGGCCTTGGATTTCTTACATGGAGGCTTGTACTCTAAAGGTGAGTGTCCCAAGAGAACAAAGCAGAAGTTGTATAGCCTTTTTTAGCCTCAGAATTCACCTAGCATCACTTATGCCACGGTGCCAGATTCAAAGATTCAGAGGAGGGAGCAGAGACCCCACCTCTCACTGGGAGGAGCATCGAGTCCACAGGATAAAAGAAGAGCATATGGGTTGGGAGATAATTGTTGAGTACATTTTGGGGATGTATTCTGAACAGCCTGCCACAGCATTCCCCAGGGCTGTCCTCTAGCTGCTTATCTCCCAGCTCTCAGAGCCCCCAAGTTCTGCCCGTGGAGTGGCCTCCCCTTGCCCAGTGCTCTGCCCTGGCTGGCTTCTCTGAATAAGCTGTGTACTAGGCCTTGAGTATGGGAGAGAATGGAAGCCTATGAACAGAGCTTTGCCATGAATAAATCATTTGAAATTCAGGATTTGACTAGAGCCTTTCTTCCCAAGGTTTTTTTTTCTTGAGACGGAGTTTCGCTCTTATTACCCAGTCTGGAGTGCAATGGCACGATCTCGGCTCACCGCAACCTCCGCCTCTTGGGTTCAAGCAATTCTCCTGCCTCAGGCTCCCGAGTAGCTGGGACTACAGGCGTGTGCCACCATGCCCAGCTAATTTTTGTATTTTTAGTAGAGATGGGGTTTCATCATGTTGACCAGGATGGTCTCGATCTCTTGACCTCGTGATCCACCCGCCTCGGCCTCCCAAAGTGCTGGGATTACAGGCGTGAGCCACCGCGCCCGGCAATCTTTTGTATTTTTAGTAGAGACAAGGCTTCACTACCTTAGCCAGGCTACTCCTGACCTCAGGTGACCTGCCTGCCTCAGCCTCCTAAGGTGCTGGAATTACAGGCATGAGTCACTACTTCCAACCTAATTTTTATATTTTTAGTAGAGATGGGGTTTCATCGTGTTCATCATGTGAGCCATCATGCCAGGCCAGGTTTGGGCATTTCTGTTTTTTTTTTTTTTTTGAGATGGAGTCTCGCTCTGTTGCCAGGCTGGAGTGCAGCGGCGTGATCTTGGCTCACTGCAACACCTGCCTCCCAGGTTCAAACGATTCTCCTGCCTCAGCCTCCCGAGAAGCTGGGACTACAGGCGTGCACCACCACACCCAGCTAATTTTTGTATTTTTAGTAGAGATGCGGTTTCACCACGTTAGCCAGGATGATCTCGATATCTTGGCCTCGTGATCCGCCCCCCTCGCCCTCCCAGAGTGCTGGGATGACAGACAGACGTAAGCCACCTTGCCCGGCCAGCCGAATGGCCCCACCTGGACCTGCCAATCAGTTCTGTGGCCCACACCCAAGAACTGACTCAGCAGAAGAACAGCTTCGACTCCCTGGGATTGCATCCCGGAGCCAACCAATCAGCACTCCCGATTCACTGCCCCCCCCACCACCATATTATCCTTAAAAACTCTGATCCCCGCCCCCCCCAAAAAAGAAAACAAAAACTCTGATCCCCCAGTTTTCGGGGAGGATGATTTGAGTAACAAACTCTGGTGTCCCGCACAGCCAGCTCCGCGTGAATTACTCTTTCTCTTGGAATTCCCCTGTCTTGATAAATCGTCTGTGTCTAGGAAGCAGGCAAGGTGAACCCACTGCGCAGTTACAGGGCTGCCCTTCCACAGCACGCGATCTAATTGCTGAGAGAAATTAACCTAGTTAAGAGTTGCAAACGGGACACCGAGCAGGAAGGAAATCTGCAGTGTAAGGAACTTGTCCAGAGCCTCTGACCTACACTGGGGAGTCAGGGACGGTTCAGAGCAGGGGGCGACAGAACGTCCAAGGCCGGCGACCTCCCGCCCTTGCTCTTCCTCATCCCCGCGACTTTCCTTCATCCGTCCTCCACGCGAACGAGACGACGCCTCCCCGAGGAAGGCTCTGGGGCGCAAGGCTGGCGGGAGCCAAAAAAGGCCCCGCTGCAAGGCTTCAGGCACCCTTGCGCGTGGACGCCTCATGGTGACGTCAGGGACGCGACTCCCGGGATGCCCCGCGCGGCGCCGGATCCCAGGCGCAGGTTCAGATTGTGATCTCTGAGTTTCCCTCCGCCTTCCTGACGGTGCGAACTGGCGGCCCAGGGCGTGGGTGCTGCTATCGGACAGCCTGAATTCTTTGTCCTCAGTTTACATGGGAGGCCCCTCGAAACAGAGCACGTTACTTGCCCCGGGTCACCTGCGAGCGGCGAGACTGCCGGGTTGACTGCAAGGTCTGACATCCCCCTCCGTTTTCACCGAGGAGTGTGAGGATGTTGTTAGTAGCTGCCGCAAGGCTGGCGGACCTTACGGTTGGGTCCACCTGCCTCTGGACAGGCCTTAGCGTTCACTCGCGATTTCTCCCAGACTTTGAACCCAAACTCCCTACCCTGCAAGTCCTTCTCTGTTTGCCGAACTGCAAGTGACAAAAGAACTAAGTGTTGGCGAAAACTGATGTTTCAGAGGGTGCAGAGTAGAGGTCGGGGGTGGACGCCTCGCCAGGTGTTGTGTAAGGTAGCCCAGGGTCCTGGCACTGAGTCTCATCAGGAATGCAAGGGATTTGGATTAGATGGTTTCTTAGAGACCTAAATTCCCCTTTGCAGATGCATACCTAAGGAAACCGCTGGGGCTGGCGTGAACCAAGACAAACCCAGGAAGGGTTGATGGCCCTGTCCT